CTCCCAAAGCGCTGGGATTACAGGCATGAGCCACCGTGCCCGGTCTAATTTTTTAATATTTTGGAGATGAGGCCTTGCTATGCAACTCAGGCTGGTCTTGAACTCCTGGGCTCAAGTGATTCTCCTGCTTTGCCCTCCTAAAGTGCTGAGGTTACAGGCGGGAGCCACCACACAAATCTGGGTTTTGTTTGTTTGTTTGTTTTGTTTTTATTCTCTGTTGCCCAGGCTGGAGTGCAATGGCACAATCATAGCTCATCCTGCCTCAGCCTCCCGAGTAGCTGGGACTACAGGTGTGCACCACCATGCCCAGCTAATTTTTGTAGAGACACAGTTTCACCATATTGCTCAGGCTGGAAAATCCAGGGCTTTTTTGTTTGTTTTGTTTCATTTTGTTTTGTTTTTGAGACAGAGTCTCGATTTGTTGCCCAGGCTGGAGTGCAATGGCACTATCTCAGCTCACTGCCACATTTGCCTCCTGGGTTCAAGAGATTCTCCTGCCTCAACCTCCCGAGTTGCCTAGACTACAGGCGCTCTCTACAATGCCCTGCTAATTTGTGTATTTTTACTAGAGATTGGGTTTCACCATGTTGGTCAGGTGAGTCTCGAACTCCTGACCTCAAGTAATCTGCCTGCCTCGGCCTCCCAAAGTGCTGGAATTGCAGGTGTGAGCCACTGTGCCTGGTGGGAAAATCCAGGTTTTGATTGAAGTGGATGCCAAATCAGCCCCCAGGGAAGCCACATGGCCCTGCTCCTTCCCAGCCCCTCCCCTGGCTCACAATGCTCCTTCCTGGCCCCTCCCCTGGCTCACCTGCCTTCTCTCTTCCTGCAGGACCCTTCTCTCAATGTCACCAGGTGGTGCCTCCCCAGTCCAGCTTTGCCAGTTGCGTGCATGGCCAGTGTGGGACCAAGGGCGACACCACGGCCCTGTGCCGCTCCCTGCAGGCTTACGCGTCCCTGTGTGCCCGGGCTGGCCAGGCTCCTGCCTGGCGGAACAGAACTTTCTGCCGTGAGTGACTGGCCACCTGTTCCCACAGCCTGTAGGAACCCTCCAGAATTCTGCCCTCCCTTTCTTCCTCTAAATTCTATTTTTTTTTTTTTTCTTTGAGATGGTGTCTCGCTCTGTTGCCCAGGCTGGAGTGCAGTGGCGCAATCTCGGCTCACTGCAACCTCCACCTCCCGTGTTCAAGTCAAAGTGGGCGGATCACCTGAGGTCAGGAGTTGGAGACCAGCCTGGTCAACATGGCGAAACCCTGTCTCTATTAAAAATACAAAAATTGGCCAGGTGTGGTGGTGAGCACCTGTAATCCCAGCTACTTGAGAGGCTGAGGTGGGAGAATCGCTTGAACCTGGGAGGCAGAGGTTGCAGTGCACCAAGATTGCACCACTGCAGTCCAGCCTAGGCGACAAGAGTGAAACAAAAAACAAGAGTGTAAAACAAAACAAAACAAAACAAAAAGTTCTGGCGATGGATGGTGGTAATGGCAGCACAACAATGTGAATGTACTTAGTGCTGTTGAAGTGTACATTTAAAAATTGTTGCCGGGCGCGGTGGCTCACGCCTGTAATCCCAGTACTTTGGGAGGTCGAGGCAGGTGGATCACGAGGTCAGGAGATTGAGACCATCCTGGCTAACATGGTGAAACCCTGTCTCTACTAAAAACACAACATATTAGCCAGGCGTGGTGGCGGGCACCTGTAGTCCCAGCTACTTGGGAGGCTGAGGCATGAGAATGGCATGAATCCGGGAGGCAGAGCTTGCAGTGAGCCAAGATCACACCACTGCTCTCCAGCCTGGGTGACAGAGTGAGACTCTGTCTCAAAGAAAAAAAAAACTGTTAAATGGTAGATTTTATGTCTGGTTTTTTTTGTTGTTTTGCTTTTGAGAGTCTCGCTGTCGCCCAGGCTGGAGTGTGGTGGTCTGACCTTGCCTCATGGCAACCTCTGCCTCTCAGGTTCAAGAGATTCTTGTGCCTCAGCCACCTAAGTAGCTGGGACGACAGGCGTGCACCACCACGCCCAGCTGATTTTTGCATTTTTAGTAGAGATGAGTTTCACCATGTTGGCCAGCCTGATCTTGAACTCCTGACCTCAGGTGATCCACCTGCCTTAGCCTCCCAAAGTGGTGGGATTACAGGTGTGAGCCACCATGCCCAGCCACTACTAGGAGCTTTTGACGCCCCAAGGTTTGGGGGCTGGAAATGCCACCCCGCTCTTCCTAATGCTCTCATTTTCCTTAGCTATGAGGTGCCCACCTGGCAGCAGCTATAGCCCCTGTGGCAGCCCCTGCCCAGCCACCTGCAGCAGCCTAAACGACCCGAGGGACTGCCCCAAAGCACTGCCCTGTGCTGAGAGCTGCGAATGTCAGAAAGGCTACATCTTGAGTGGAACCTCCTGCGTGCCCCTTGGCCAGTGTGGCTGCACCGAGCCAGCGGGCTCCTACCATCCGGTGAGAGGCCAGCTAGCAGGGGCCCTGCTCTTTCCAGGCCCACATGTTTGGGGTCAGGGCAAGCTCAGGAGAGGCAGGAGGAAGGCTCAGAACCTGGAAGGGGCAGGGCTGGCCAAGGCTGGGGGACGAGGAGGAAGGCCAGATGCTGCAGCCAGCTTCAACCGGGACATCAGCCCATCTCCTGATTCCAACTTTCTGTTGGCTCTGCTGATCCCTGTGGCCCACAGGTCGGTGAGCGCTGGTACACAGAGGACACCTGCACCAGGCTCTGCACCTGCTCCATCCACAACAACATCACCTGCTTCCAAAGCACCTGTAAACCCAACCAGATGTGCTGGGCCCTGGATGGGCTACTCCGTTGTCGGGCCTCAGGTAGGAGGACCACGGTGATAGGGGGACTCCACAGCCCTGAGGCCAGCTCTCCCAACTCCCCAACAGACTCCCTGCTGCCTGTAGCACTGGGGTTGAGGTTTCGGCTCATAACTCTGCTGCAACGAAGAGCTTCCTGTGGGAAAGATGACCTCCAACTGCTGAGAAGGGAGACTCACCCATCATCCTTCTCCTGCAGCGGCCACCAACTTAGATGGAATATTATAAATCCTTTCCTGGGGCCGGACACCGTGGCTCACACTTGTAATCTCAGCACTTTGGAAGGCCAAGGCAGGCAGATCACTTGAGACTAGGGTTCAAGACCAGCCTGACCAACATGGCCAAACCCCGTCTGTACTAAAAATATAAAAATTAGCCTGTAATCCCAGCTACTCGAGAGGCTGAGGCAGGAGAATTGCTTGAACCCAGGAGACAGAGGTCGCAGTGAGCAGATATCATGTCATTGCACTCCAGCCTGGGTGACAAGAGCAAAACTCCGTCTCTAAATAAATCTTTCCCTGGAGGCCAGGCATGGTGGCTCATGCCTGTAATCCCAGTACTTTGGGAAGCTGAAGTCAGAGGATCACTTGAGGCCAGTAGTTCAAGACCAGCCTGGGCAACATAGTGAGACGCCCATCTCTACAAAAAACAAAAACTAAAAAATTAAAAATTAAAATTAAAGACATTGCACCTGTAGCTCCTGCTACTTGGGAGGCTGAGGTAGGAGGATCTCTTGAGCCCAGGAATTAGAGTCTGCAGTGAACTATGATCTTGCCACTGCACACCAGTCTGGGTAACAGAACAAGACCCTGTCTCTAAAAAAAATTTTTTTTAATTAGTTGAATAGGGTACTTCATGCCTGTAGTCCCAGATACTCTGGAGGCTGAGGTAGGAGGACGGCTTGAGCCCAGGAGTTTGAGGCTGCAGTGAGCTATGATCATGCCACTGCATTCCAGCCTGAGTGACAGAGAGAGACCATGTCTCAAAAAAGAAAAAAAAAATCCTTCCTCCAAAGAATCATGCCCCCCTCAGCCCATAAACTTCACGCCTCCTAACCCTGGCCCCAAGTGTTTTATTTTTTTTTCTTTTCTTTTTTTTTTGTTGAGACGGAGTCTCACTCGGTCGCCCAGGCTGCAGTGCAGTGGCGTGATCTCGGGCTCACTACAAGCTCCGCCTCCCGGATTCACGCCATTCTCCTGCTTCATCCTCCCAAGTAGCTGGGACTACAGTCACCTGCTGCCACGCCCGGCTAATTTTTTGCATTTTTAGTAGAGACGGGGTTTCACCGTGTTAGCCAGGATGGTCTCGATCTCCTGACCTCGTGATCCACTCGCCTTGGCCTCCGAAAGTGCTGGGATTATAGGCGTGAGCCACCGCGCCTGGCCTTTTTTTTCTTTTTTTGAGGTAGTGTCTTTGTCGCCCAGGCTGGAGTGCAGTGGCGCAATCTCAGCTCACTGCAAACTCCGCCTCCCTGGTTCAAGCGATTCTCCTGCCTCAGCCTTCCAAGTAGCTGGGATTACAGGCACATGTCACCACACTCTATTTTTTCTTTTTTTTTTTTTTTGTATTTTTTTAGTAGAAACGGGGTTTTACCATGTTGGTCAGGCTGGTCTCAAACCAGCCCGCCTCGGCCTCCCAAAGTGCTGGGATTAGAGGCATGAGCCACTGCGCACAGCTGGACCTGGAGTCTTGACTCTTTTCTGGAAGGCAGGGAGAACCCAGGACTAGTTTCCCAGGGACCCTGTACCTGCCAGAGGAACATCATAGCCCAGCTGTCTCTCTGTCCTCCCAGGTATGGGAGTGTGTCAGCTCCCAGAGGAGTCCCACTACGTGAGCTTTGATGGTAGCAACCATTCTATCCGGGACACCTGCACTCACGTCTTGGTGAAAGTGTGCCACCCCGCCATGGCCTTGCCATTCTTCAAGATCAGTGCCAAGCATGAGAAGGAGGAAGGTGGAACTGAGGCTTTCCGCCTTCATGAGGTCTACATTGACATCTACGACGCCCAGGTCACCCTGCAGAAGGGCCACCGTGTGCTGGTGAGCTGGGTGTGGTGACCGGGCCTGGAAGGGAGTGTTGGGGAGGGAACTCCGGTCCCTGCTCCTACTTACCATCACTGTCCTCCTGTTTAGATCAACAGCAAAAAGGTCACCCTCCCCGCAATCTCCCAGATCCCCGGGGTCAGCGTCAAGTCCAGCAGCATCTACACCATTGTTAACATCAAGATCGGGGTGCAAGTCAAGTTTGATGGGAATCGTCTCTTAGAGATTGAACTCCCCACAACCTACTATGGAAAGGTGAAGAAAACATCTGGCTCTGCTAGCTGGGGAGGCAGCCCCAGGGAGATTGGTGGCTGGCAGGGATTGGGGGCAGTGTTCACATCGTGACTGCCCAAAGAGGCCACTCCTCAGGATGGAGCAGGGCAGTGGTGGTGCGCGCCTTTCTGTGTAGGATGGACAAGAGTGTTTCCAGGAAAAAACAGGAAAAACCGTTCTGGCTGGGCGTGGTGGCTCACGCCTGTAATCTCAGCATTTTGGGAGGCCGAGGCAGGTGGATCACCTGAGGTCAGGAGGTCGGGATCAGGCTGGCCAACATGGTGAAACCCTGTCTCTATTAAAAATAAAGATTTAAAAAATTAGCTAGGAGTGGTGGTGCACACCTGTAATCCCAGCTACTTGAGAGGTTGAGGCAAGAGAGTCACTTGAATCCGGGAGGCGAATAGTGAAGTGAGCCGAGATCATGCCACTGCACTCCAGGCTGGGTGACAAGACCCGAAACTCAAAAGAAGGGAGGGAGGAAAGGAAGGAAGGAAGGAAGGAAGGAAGGAAGGAAGGAAGGAAGGAAGGAAGGAAGAAAAATTGCTCTCGTGGAAGGAAGGAAGGAAGGAAGGAAGGAAGGAAGGAAGGAAGGAAGGAAGGGAGGGAGAAAAGCCACTCTCGTGGAAGGAAGGAAGGAAGGAAGGGAGGGAGAAAAGCCACTCTCGTGGAAGGAAGGAAGGAAGGGAGGAAGGAAGGAAAGGAGAAAAGCTGCTCTCGTGGAAGGAAGGAAGGGAGGGAGGGAGGGAGAAAAGCCACTCTCGTGGGAGGAAGGAAGGGAGGGAGGGAGGGAGGAAGGAAGGAAGGAAGGAGGGGAGAAAAGCTGCTCTCGTGGAAGGAAGGAAGGAAGGAAAGAGGGGAGAAAAGCCACTCTCGTTGAAGGAAGGAAAGAAGGAAGGAAGAAAAGGAGGGAGAAAAACCGCTCTCGTGGAAGGAAGGGAGGGAGGGAGAAAAACCGCTCTCATGGGAGGAAGGAAGGAAGGAAGGAAGGAAGGAAGGAAGGAAGGAAGGGAGAAAAGCCGCTCTTGTGGAAGGAAGGAAGGAAGGAAGGGAGGGAGGGAGAAAAACCGCTCTCGTGGGAGGAAGGAAGGAAGGAGGGAGGGAGGGAGGGAGGGAAGGAGGGAGAAAAGCCGCTGTCGTGCTTCCCCAGCACCGAAAAACCACTCTCCCCACCCAGGTCTGCGGCGTGTGCGGGAACTTTAATGATGAGGAAGAGGATGAACTAATGATGCCCAGCGACGAACTAGCGCATAGTGATAGTGAATTTGTGAACAGTTGGAAAGATAAGGACATTGACCCAAGGTAGTGGTCCCCTAAGACCCTCTAGCTTTTCTTTCTCTTTTTTCCAAGACGGAATCTTGCTCTGTCACCCAGGCTGGAGTGCCATGGCACGATCTCGGCTCACTGCAACCTCCACCTCCCGGGTTCAAGAGATTCTCCTGCCTCAGCCTCCCAAGTAACTGGGATTACAGCCACCCACCACCATGCCCAGCTAATTTTTGTAGTTTTTAGTAGAAATGGGGTTTCACCATGTTGGTCAGGCTGGTCTCGAGCTCCTGACCTCAGGCCATGCGCCTGCCTTGGCCTCCCAAAGTTCTAGGTAATCATGAGCTACCGCACCTGGCCCCTCTAGCTTTTCTTTTTTTCTTTTTTTTTTCTTTGAGATGGAGTTTTGCTCTGTTGCCCAGGCTGGAGTGGCAGTGGCGCAATCTTGGCTCACTGCAACCTCTGCTTCCCAGGTTCAGGCAATTCTTGTGCCTCCACCTCCCGAGTAGCTGGGATTACAGGTGCATGACACCACGCCCCACGCCTGGCTAATTTGTGCATTTTGGGTAGAGACAGAGTTTCACCATGTTGGCCAGACTGGCCTTAAACTCCTGACCTCAAGTGATCCACCTGCCTCAAAGTGCTAGGATTACAGACGTGAGCCATTGTGCCTGGCCACCCCTCCAGCTTTTCATAGTAACATGAGCTAGGGAGCCAGACTGTAGGGCACACCTGGGGCAGGAAGACCAGAATGTTCCTTTTACCGTCTTCAATTTTTAAATTTTTTGTAGAGACAGGGTCTCGCCATGATTGCCCAGGTTGGTCTCAAACTCCTGGGCTCTAATGATCCTCCCGCCTCGGCTTCCCAAAGTGCTGGGATTACAGACCAGAATGTTGCTTTGTGTGTGTGATTTGAGAGCGATGACTTCTGGGCATTCTGGGGTGATGTGTGTAATTGATCCATCTCAAGGCTGCTAGAACCCACTTGGGGAAATGTGAAAATCTTCTTTTCCTCACTTAGAAACCTTGGAGGAGGAGCAGGAGCAGTGGCTCATGCCTGTAATTCCAGCACTTTGGGAGACCAAGACTGGAGGATCACTTGAGGCCAGGAGTTTGAGACCGGCCTAGGCAACATAGCAAGACCCCGTCTCTATAAAAAATTAAAAACTAAAATTAGCCAGGCATGGTGGCACATGCCTGTAATCCCAGCTCCTCGGAAGGCTAAGGCAGGAGAATCGCTTTAACCTGATACATAGAGGTTGCAGTGAGCCAAGATCACGCCACTGAACTCCAGCCTGGGCGACAAAGTGAGACCTTGTCTCCAAATAAACCAAAACCAAAAATTAGCTGGGCGTGGTGGCGCACACCTATAATCCCAGCTACTCAGGAGGCTGAGGCAGGAGAATTGCTTGAACCTGGGAGGCGGAGGTTTCAGTGAGCCAAGATTGCACTATTGCACTACTGCACTCAAGCCTGGGCGACAGAGTGAGACTGTCTCCAAAAAAAAAAAAAAAAAAGATAAACAAAAAAAAAACAAGCATTGGTTGGGCATGGTGGCAAGTGCCTGTAGTCCCAGCTACTCGGGAGGCTGAGGCAGGAGAATCTCTTGAACCCAGGAGGGGAGGCAGAGGTTGCAGTGAGTCGAGACTGTTGCATTGAACTCCAGCCTGGGAGACAGAGCAAGACTCCCTCTAAAGAAAAAAAAAAAAAATTGTGTCATGGTAGAGGGACAACTGTCCCTAGGCTGATTCTTTTCCCTTCCCAGTTGTCAGAGTCTCCCGGTAGATGAGCAGCAGATTCCAGCGGAACAGCAGGAGAACCCGAGTGGAAACTGCAGGGTGGCCGACCTCCGCAGGGCGCGGGAAAAGTGCGAGGCAGCGCTCCGGGCTCCTGTGTGGGCCCAGTGTGCCTCCCGCATAGACCTCACGCCCTTCCTGGTAGGCTGTACGAACACCCTCTGTGAGTTTGGAGGTCTCCACCAGGCCCTCTGCCAGGCTCTGCAAGCCTTCGGGGCCACCTGCCAGAGCCAGGGCCTCAAGCCCCCACTCTGGAGAAACAGCAGCTTCTGCCGTGAGTGTGCCCTGCTGTCACCCCAAACCCCTCCCAAACCCCCTTTCCCTCTCTGCTTCCCTGAGAGCTCCCTCACTCTGCTTCCTGTTTGTTCCTAATTCAGCTCTCATTGTCTCTTTGACAAGGACTATTTTTAAATTATTTATATATACATATATATATATATATTTTTTTTTTTTTTGGCTGGGTATGATGGCTCACGCCTTTAGTCCCAGCACTTGGGGAGGCCAAGGTGGGTGGATCACCTGAGGTCAGGAGTTCGAGACCAGCCTGGCCAACATGGTGAAACCCCATCCCACTGAAAACACAAAATTAGCTGGGTGTGGTGGCACATGCCTGTAATCCCAGCTACTCCGGAGGCTGAAGCAGGAGAATGGCTTGAACCTGGGAGGCAGAGGTTGCAGTGAGCCAAGATGGTGACATTGCACTCCAACCTGGGCAAAAAGGAGCAAAACTCTGTCAAAAAAAAATTTTTTTTTTGAGACAGGGTCTCACTCTGTCACCCAGGCTGAAGTGCACCACCACACCAGCTAATTTTTGTATTTTTAATAGAGATGGGGTTTCACCATGTTGGCCAGGATGGTCTCGATCTCTTGACCTCGCAATTCACCCGCCTTGGCCTCCCGAAGTGGTGGGATTACAGGCGTCAGCCACCGCGCCTGGCCAAGAAGGTTTATTTTTCTTTAACGCACTCTCTCATTCTAGGAGCAAAGCAGAGGTGCAGGGGGCGCTGCAGAGTTTCTCAGGGCCAGTGGAGGCAACATGAGCACAGCAGCCTGAGCTGGCCGGAGGGTCAGGGTGAACGCAGCGCACAGGTCCTGTACAGAATGGGGCCTCTGCTCAGCTGCCCCACAGCTGGTGGGCATCACCGTGGGTCCAGTGTGACCAGACCCTCTGATTTTTTTTTTTTTTGGAATAAGCTATAAGCCTGAGTTTTTATTTGATATTGCCATACCTTTTTTTTTCTTTTCTTTTCTTTTTTTTTTGAGTTTCACTGTAGCTCAGGCTGGAGTGCAGTGACATGATCTCGGCTCACTGCAACCTCTGCCTCCCAGGTTCCAGTGATTCTCCTGCCTCAGCCTCTGAGTAGCTGAGATTACTCGCATGTTCCACCAGGCCCAGCTAATTTTTGTATTTTTATTAGAGACGGGGTTTCACCATATTGGCCAGGCTGGTCTTGAACTCCTCACGCAGGTGATCCACCTGGCTCAAGCCTCCCAAAGTGCTAGGATTACAGGCGTGAGCCACTGCGCCTGGACATGAAAAATAACAAGTCTTAATTTGAGTTTTTATTATGAGTGAGATTGGACATTTTTTCATATACTTAGGAACCCTTTGAATTTCCCTTTCTGTAAACTATCTGCTCATAGCCAGTCACCATTTTTCCACTAGGTCGTTGGTCTTTATTGAACTATTTCATGGAAGTCCTTTATCTGTTATGGAAAGTAGACCTTTATTAGTGCTCTGAGTTACACAGTTTTCCAGTCCTTTTTGTTTTCATCTTTTGGCTTTTTTCTTTTCCATGCAGGAAAAAAATTTTTATGGGGTCAAATATATTAATCTTGTTTTATGTCTTCTGCATCTTGAGCAATAGCTATAAATGCGAGCCGCAGAGAAGCTACAAAAGAGTTCGCTGATTCTTTGCTCTAGAAATTTTGTTTGTTTGAGACCGGGTGCGGTGGCTCAAGCCTGTAATCCCAGCACTTTGGGAGGCTGAGACAGGCGGATCACGAGGTCAGGAGATCGAGACCATCCTGGCTAACACGGTGAAACCCCGTCTCTACTAAAAAAAAAATACAAAAAACTAGCCGGGCGTGGTGGTGGGCGCCTGTAGTCCCAGCTACTCGGGAGGCTGAGGCAAGAGAATGGCGTGAACCCAGGAGGCGGAGCTTGCAGTAAGTGGAGATTGCACCGCTGCAGTGGTGCGATCCCGGATCACTGCAACCTCCACCTCCCGGATTCACGCCATTCTCCTGCCTCAGCCTTCCGAGTAGCTGGGACCACAGGCGCCTCCCACCACGCTCAGCCAATTTTTGTATTTTTAGTAGAGATGGGGTTTCACCATGTTGGCCAGGCTGGTCTCAAACTCCTGGCCTCAAGTGATCTGCCCGCCTCGTCCTCCCTAAGTGTTGGGGTTACAGGCGTGAGCCACTGTGTCTGACCTGCTCTAGAACTTTTATGGTTTCATTTTTTTATATTTAAGTGAGGTGGTTTTTTTTTTTTTGGTGTATATTAAGTTTTTGAACCATGAGGATTTATCCTGATGTGTAAAATGAGGTGTGAATCAACTTCGTTTCTGTTTTTCTCCAGAAGGCTAGCCAGCTGTTCCAACATTATTAAATGACGAGTCTGTCTTTGCCCAGGGACTGAGATTCCACACTTTATCTTCTACTAAATTCCCATATATATTTGGATCCTTATCTGAGCTTTCTCCTCTGTTCTATTGGTTCATCTGTATTTGCATGTAACAGTAACACAAAGTCGTAATCACTGAAAATTTAAAATGAGCTTTGGACTGGGCACAGTGGCTTACGCCTGTAATCCCAGCACTTTGGGAGGCCGAGGTGGGCGGATCACCTGAGGTCAGGAGTTCGAGACCAGACTGGCCAACATGGTGAAACCCTGTCCCTACTAAAAATACAAAAATTAGCTGAGTGTGGTGGTATGTGCCTGTAATTCCAGCAACTCAGGAGGCTGAGGCAGGAGAATTGCTTGAACCCAGGAGGTGGAAGTTGCAGTGAGCCGAGATTGTGCCATTGCACTCCAGCCAGGGTGAAAAGAGCAAAACTCTGTCTCAAAAAAATAAATAAATAAATAAAAATAAAATAAAATAAACGTTGACTTATGGAGGGACATTTACTACTGATGGCTCTTTTTTTTTTTTTTAGGGATTTCCTGGCTTTTCTGGTTTGCTTATGTCTTCAGCTCAACTTTGAAATCATCTTGTCCTATTAAAAGCACACATGTTTGGGCCGGGTGTGGTGGCTCACGCCTGTAATCCCAGCACTTTGGGAGGCCGAGATGGGCGGATCACGAGGTCAGGAGATCAAAACCATCCTGGCTAACATGGTGAAACCCTGTCTCTACTGAAAATGCAAAAAAATTAGCTGGGTGTAGTGGTAGGCGCCTGTAGTCCCAGCTACTCGGGAGGCCGAGGCAGGAGAATGGCGTGAACACAGGAGGCGGAGCTTGCCGTGAGCCGAGATCATGCCACTGCACTCCAGCCTGGGCAACTCAGCGAGACTCCGTCTCAAAAAAAAAAAGCACACACACATATAAAATACTTTTGGTGGCTGGGTGTGGTAGCTCACGCCTGTAATCCTAGCACTTTGGGAGGCCAACGTGGGAGGATCACCTGAGGTCAGGAGTTTGAGACCAATCTGGCCAACATGGTGAAACCCCATCTCTACTAAAAATACAAAAATCAGCCTGGCGTGGTAGTGCATACCTGTAATCCCAGCTACCCGGGAGGCTGAAGTAGGAGAATCTCTGGAACTGGGGAGGCAGAGGCTGCAATGAGCCTAGATCACTCCTGGGTGTCAGAGAGAGACTCTGTCCCCACACCCCGCCCCCCCCCAAAAAAAATTTTTGGTATATTTTATTGAGATCACATTAAATGTGTACATTCACTGAGGCAGAACTAACATCACCATGTTGCTGAACCTTCCTATCCATGAACATGGTATGCATTTCCATTTGTTCACACTACTTTTGCTTAAGGGCCTTTCTTTAACTCCCCCAACAGAATTAACACCTCCCTTCTCTGTGCCTCCATCATGCCTTGTATACTCTTGCCTGTCAACACACCTACTGATCATGCACATCAAGGTCATGTTGCAGTTACTGTTTGACCACGGTCCTTCATGCTGACTTGGGAGAGTCATTCTTGTTCCTTTTTTTTTTTTTTTTTTTGAGACAATCTTGCTCTGTTGCCCAGGCTGGAGTGCAGTAGTGTGATCTTGGCTCACTGCAACCTCTGTCTCCCGGGTTCAAGCGATTCTCCTGCCTCAGCCTCCTGAGTAGCTGGGACTACAGGCACCTGCCACATGCCCGGTTAATTGTTGTATTTTTAGTAGAGACGGGGTTTCACCATGTTGGCCAGGGTGGTCTCGATCTCCTGACCTCATGATCCACCCACCTCGGCCTCCCAAAGTGCTGGGATTACAGGCGTGAGCCACGGTGCCCAGCTGCTTGTTCCTTTCTTTCCCCCAAAGCCTGGCACACAACCCATACTTAGTAAATGTTTTCTGAATGAATAACAAAAGAACAAAAAAAAAGCTCCCCAAGCCTTGTTGGTCATCCACCCGTAGCCTGGTTCCTACAATCCCTGCCCACCCTGGCTCCCCTGTGACCCTCTCCACTGATCCACTGTCTCCTTCACCCACAGCTCTGGAATGCCCTGCCTACAGCAGCTACACCAACTGCCTTCCCTCCTGCTCACCCTCCTGCTGGGACCTGGATGGCCAGTGTGAGGGCGCCAAAGTCCCCTCTGCCTGTGCTGAGGGCTGCATTTGTCAGCCCGGCTATGTGCTGAGTGAGGACAAGTGTGTCCCCAGAAGTCAGTGCAGCTGCAAGGATGCCCATGGTGGCTCCATCCCTGTGAGTGGGCATGGGAAATGGGACTGGAGGCAACACAGCTTGAGGGTGGTGCTTTCTCCTTTTCTCCGTCTCTCTCTGCCTGGGATACCCATGACTTTACAGCTGGCCCAGGGGTGTGAAGGCTGGTGTAAGTGGCACATTGATCTCTAGCCAGGTCTGGGCTGATGGCACATGATTTAGGTTTTGGATTTGAGGAATCCAAACAAGGAGCATGTGGCATGGTATAGTGGAAAGACCATGGGCTCATTTCAAGCTGATGTTGGGTTGAATCCTGATAGTGCCACTGATGCGTCAGATGACCTCTGTTATCTCCGTTTCCTCATCTGTAAAATGGGTTCAGTTATACCTCCTGCACAACATTATGTAAGACACCAAGCACAAACACAGTGCCTTTTTCTTTTCTTTTCTTTTTTTTTTTTTTTTGAGGTGGAGTCTCCCTCTATTATCCAGCAGGCTGGAGTGCAGTGGCATGATCTCTGCTCACTGCAACCTCCGCCTCCTGGGTTCAAGTGATTCTCCTGCCTCAGTCTCCTGTGTAGCTGGGATTACAGGCAAGCGCCACCATGCCCTGCTACTTTTTGTATTTTTAGTAGAGATGGTGTTTCGCCATGTTGACCAGGCTGGTCTTGAATTCCTGACTTCAAGTGATCTGCCCGCCTTGGCCTCCCAAAGTGCTAAGATTACAGGCGTGAGCCACCACACTTGGCCTGCACAGTTGTCTTTTGGATGTTCGCATGACACTGTGGCTGCCTCTGGCCAGCATTAATTAAACCATTTAGATGGTGGGCTAGGCTGCTGGGGCAAGAGGAAGGAGAACTGGCCCTTCCCTCTTCACTCTTTTTTTTTTTTTTTGAGACAGAGTCTTGCTCTGTTGCCCGGGTTGGGTTGCGTGGCGTGATCTTGGCTCACTGCAACCTCTGCCTCCTGGGTTCAAGCAATTCTCCTGCCTCAGCCTCTCTAGTAGCTGGGATTACACGCGCGGGCCACCACGCCCGGCTAGTTTTTGTGTTTTTAGTAGAGAAGGGGTTTCACCAGGTTGGCCAGGCTCGTCACAAACTCCTGACCTCAGGTGATCCGCCGTCTTGGCCTCCCAAAGTGCTGAGATTACAGGCGTGAGCCCCTGCGCCCAGCCCCCTCCTCACTCTCTTTCTCTTCCTGTAACTTCTACAGCTGGGCAAGAGCTGGGTCTCCCGTGGTTGCACGGAGAAGTGTGTCTGCACAGGAGGAGCCATTCAGTGCGGGGACTTCCGATGCCCCTCTGGGTCCCATTGCCAGCTCAGTTCCGACAACAGCAACAGCAATTGTGTCTCGGACAGTAAGGGGAGCGACCGGGGAGGTTGGAGAGGGGAGCAGTTGGGGCCAGGGCTGAGGTAGAGGAAGAGGCAGGGTGGGAAGGGGCTTAGCCTGAACCCCAGCACAGTCAGGGGTTGGAGCAGGCGACTGGATCAGGAGGCCTGGCCTCCAGTCTGGCTCTTGCCAACTCTGTGGCCATGTGCCAGGTCCTGATCCTCTCTGGAACCCTCCACCTGTAGGGCAGAAAGAGGGGACTGGCCAAGACGATCCTCCAAGGTTTTTGTTTGCTTGCTTGTTTGTTTTTTGAGACAGAGTCTTGCTCTGTTGCCCAGGCTGGAATGCACTGGCACCATGATATAGCTCGCTGCAACCTCAAATGCCTGGAATCAAGTGATCCTCACACCTCAGCCTCCCAAGTAGCTGGGACTACAGGCATGGACCACCACACTCAGCCAATTTTGCTATTTTTTTTTCCTAGAGATGGGGTCTTGCTATGTTGCCCAAGATGGGCTTGAACTCATGGGCTCAAGTGTTCCTCCTGCCTCAGCCTCCTAAAGTGTTGAGATTACAGGCATGAGCCACTGTGCCCGGCCCCTCTAAGGTTTTTAATCAGGCCAGGAGAGAGAGGAAGTTGAAGATCAAAGATCCAGGGAGGCTGGGCATGGTGGTTCACACCTGTAATCCGAGTACTTGGGAGGCTGAAGGTGGAAGAGTCACTTCAGCCCAGGAGTTTAACACCAGCCTGGCCAACATAGGAAGACCCTGTCCCTACAAAAAATTTTAAAATTTTAAAAAATTAGGTGTAGTGGCTTGTGCCTGCAGTCCCAGCTACTCAGGAGGCCGAGGCAGGAGAATTGCTTAAGCTTAGGAGTTTGAGGCTGCAGTGCGCTATGACTGCACCACTGCACTCCAGCCTGGGACACAGAATGAGACCTTGTCTCAAAAAAATAAAATAATAATAATAATAAAAAGGCCTTTAATTGAATGTCAGCAGGTATTGGGGAAAAAAAAAAGTCCAGGTATCAGGCCTGGTGGCTTATGCCTGTAATCTCAGCAGTTTAGACTTTGGGAGGCTAAGGTGGGAGGATTTCTTGAGACCAGGAGTTCAAGACCAGCCTGGGAAATGTAGTGTGGCCCCCATTTCTAAAAAAAGAAAAAAATTAGCTGAGGGTAGTGGCACGCACCTGAAGTCCCAGCTACTCTGGAGGCTAAGGCAAGAGGATCGCTTGAGACCAGGAGTTGGAGGATGCAGTGAGCTATGATTGTACCACTTGCACTCCAGTCTGGGTGACAGAATAAGATCCTGTCTCAAAAAAAAAGAAAAAGAAGAAAAAAAGAGAAAAGAAAGGATCCAGGGAGCCTGAGCCTAAGAGGGTGGCCACAGGGGATGTCACCGTAGGGGAGGGACTCTGGGGACCGTTACACCTGGGCAGGGTCCCTTCTCAGTCTTTTGTTTTGTTTTTTGTTCTTTTTTTGAGATGGTGTCTCACTCTGTCACCCAGACTGGAGTGCAGTGGCGTGATCTCGGCGCTCACTGCAACCTCCGCCTCCCAGGTTCAAGCAATTCTCTTGCCCAGTAGAGAACTACCAAGTAGCTGGGATTACAGGCACGCACCCACCATACCCGGCTAATTTTCGTATTTTCAGTAGAGACAGGGTTTTGCCATGTTGGCCAGGCGGGTCTCAAACTCCTGACCTCAGGTCATGCACCCGCCTTGGCCTCCCAAAGTTCTGGGATTACAGGCATGAGTCACTGCGCCCGGCCCCTTCTCACTGTTTGACTTCTTCGCAGAGTCTGAACAATGCTCAGTCTACGGGGACCCCCATTACCTCACATTTGACGGCTTCAGCTACCGCTTCCGGGGCCGCATGACCTACGTTCTGATCAAGACTGTGGATGTACTGCCTGAGGGGGTGGAGCCCCTCCTTGTGGAGGGACGCAACAAGATGGCTCCGCCCAGGAGCTCCACCTTCTTGCAAGAAGTGATTACCACTGTCTATGGCTATAAAGTGCAGCTCCAAGCTGGTCTGGAGCTTGTGGTAAGAGCTGGGCCAGGGCCTGGTGGGTGTGGGGAGGCAGGTGGACCAGGTAAGCCACCTGGAGTAGAAAAGTCAGAGATCCCTGTTCCCTGGGACGTTTGTGACGGTTGGGCTGGTTGTAAAATCAGGGTCAGCAGGATGCAGTAGTTCACGCCTGAAATCTCAGCTACTCAGGAGGCTAAGACAGGAGGATCACTTGAGCCCAGGAGTTCAAGACCAGCCTGGGCAACATAGCAAGACCCCACATCTCTGCAAAAAATTTAAAATGAGCTGGGTATGGGGGCGCACACCTGTAGTTCCAGCTATTGGACAGGCTGAGGCTGGAGGATCTCTTGAGCCCAGGAGTTTGAGGCTGCAGTGAGCCAAGATCTTGCCACTGCACTTTAGCCTGGGTGACAGAGAGAAACTGTCTCAAAACCAAAAACAAATTCAGCAACAAGCTCTTGTCGTGTGGGGAGGCAGCAGAGGCTGGCAAGACACAAGAGGAAGAGAGGAGGAGGAGGACAGAACATGAGGTGTGTGAAGGTCAATCCTGGGCTGAAGAACCAATGGCATCCACTACACCAATGTATTTTTATTTTTTGAGACAGAGTCTTGCTCTGTCGCCCAGGCTGGAGTGCAGTGGCACCATCTCAGCTCACTGCAACCTCACCTCCAAGGTTCAAGTGATTTTCTTGCCTCAACCTCCCTAGTACCTGGGACTGTAGGCATGTACCACCACACCCAGCAAGATGAGTTTTTGTATTTTTAGTAGAGACACGGTTTCCCCATGTTGGCCAAGCTGGTCTGGAACTCCTGACCTCAAGTGATCCGCCTGCCTCAGCCTCTCAAAATGCTGGGATTACAGGTGTGCGTCACCATGTCCGGTTAATTTTTGTATTTTTAGTAGAGATGCAGTTTCTCCATGTTGGCCAGGCTGGCCTGGAACTCCTGACCTCAAGTGATCTGCCCACCTTGGCCTCCCGAAGTGCCGGGATTACAGGCGTGAGCCACCACACCCAGCCTCACTGCACCAATTTTTTGCAAGGAAGGACTTGGGCTGGGAAGGGGGCGGACCTCACAGAAACGTCCGCCACATGAATAGCAAAGCCCACTGGGGTATCTTATTCCACTGTCTGCACGGAGACGTATGGAGATGACCCGGAAAAGCAAAGCCCAGCCAGGAAACGGCAGCAGGTCAGGTGGATTCAGCGCTCCCTGTTGCTCCTGTCTTCCCTCTTTAGGTCAACAACCAGAAGATGGCCGTCCCCTACAGGCCGAATGAGCACCTGAGGGTCACCCTGCGGGGCCAACGGCTCTACCTGGTCACCGACTTTGAGCTGGTCATCAGTTTCGGTGGAAGGAAAAATGCAGGTACCGGAGAGAGGGGAAAGAAGAGCAGAAGGGCCGTTTCTGAGAAGTTGGAGGGAAAATCCTATCTAAGATAGGCAAATCCTGGTGAGCGGACTCAGCCCGGTAGTGGGGCACCCAGCTCCATAGGAGGACCAGGAGGAGGTGGGGTGAGAACAGGTGGAAAGCAGGGGGCAGAGTCTTGGCCGGGCCCTGTGGCACCAGCCTGTAATCCCAGAGCTCTGGGAAGCTAAGGCAGGAGGATCGCTTGAGGTCAGAAGCTCAAGACCAGACTGGGGAACATAGCGAGACCCCCGTCTCTACAAAAAAAAAAAATGTTTAAAGGCCATGCGCGGTGGCTCACGCCTGTAATCCCAGCACTTTGGGAGGCTGAGGCAGGCGGATCACCTAAGGTCAGGAGTTCAAGACCAGCCTAGCCAACATGGTGAAACCCCATCTCTACTAAAAATACAAAAATTAGCTGGGTGTGGTGGTGGGGGCCTGTAATCCCAGCTACTTGGGAGGCTGAGGCAGGAGAATCACTTGAACGTGGGAGGCGAAGGTTGCAGTGAGCTGAGATGGTGCCACTGCACTCCAGCCTAGTGACAAGAGCAAAACTCTGTCTCAAAAAAAAAAAAAAATTTAAATGAGACAGGTATGTTGGTGCATGCCTGTAATCCCAGATTCTGGAACTGGAGATGCTAAGACGGGAGGATCACTTGAGGCCAGGCATTCGAGACCAGCCTGGGCAAACATAGCAAGACCCCATCTCTACAAAAAATAAAAATAAAAAATTAGCTGGATGTGGTTGTGCACACCTGTAGTCCCAGCTACTGGAAAGGCTGAGGAGAGAGGATCACTTGAGCCCAGGAGTTGGAGGCTGCAGTGAGCCATGATTGAGCCACTGTACTCCAGCCTGGGCAACAGAGCAAGACCCTGCTTTAAAAAAGTTAATTAATCCCGGGTTCAATCCCCGGCATTTCCAAAACAGCCAGTGTTCGGTTTTTGGCCGGGCGCGGTGGCTCAAGCCTGTAATCCCAGCACTTTGGGAGGCCGAGACGGGCGGATCACGAGGTCAGGAGATCGAGACCAATCCTGGCTGACAACGGTGAAACCCTGTCTGGGGGCTAGCTAAGAAAATACAAAGATGAGCTTAGCCGGGCCGAGGTTGGGTCGGGCGGGCCTGTAGTTCCCAGCTAACTCGGGAGGCTGAGGCAGGAGAATGGCGTGAACCCGGGAGGCGGAGCTTGCAGTGAGGCTGAGATCCGGCCACTGCACTCCAGCCTGGGTGGCAGAGTGAGACTCTGTCTCAAAAAAAAAAAAAAAAAAAAAAAAAAGTTAATTAAGGCCCGGGCCGCGGTGGCCTTACGCCTAATAAGTTGCCCAGCACTTTGGAGAGCTGAGGACAAGAGACGAAGACATCATAGAGGAATTCAGAGAGAAGATCAGACCATACCGGCTAAACGGTGAGAGCCGAGATACTCATACCTAAAATACAAAAATTCCAGGCATGTGGTGGGGGTGCTATATCCCAGCTAACTCGGGAGGGCTGAGGCCCAGGAGAAATGGAGTGAACCTGGGAAGCAGAGCTGCAGTCGAGGCGAGATCGTGCACCCAGCATTCCAGCCTGGGCGACAGAGCGAGACTCTGTGCTCAAAAAAAAAAAAAAAAGTTAATTAAATAAAAAGAGTAAGGGCTGGTTGCAGTGCTCATGCCTGTAACTGCCCAGTATACCTGGAGGCCGAGGCGGGCAGAATCACTTGAGGTCAGGAGTTCTAGACCAGTTTGGCGCAACATGGTGAAACACCCATCTCTACTAAAAAAATAATAAAAATTAAGCCAGGCATGATGTGCCTGTAGTCCTAGCTACTTGGGAGGCTGAGCCACGAGAATTGGCTTGAAACTGGGAGGCGGCAGGTTGCAGTGAGCCAAGATCACGCCACTGCACTTCCAGGCCTGGCAACAGAGCCAAGACTCTGTCTCAAGAAAAAAAAAAAAAAAAAAGAAGAGTGAAGAGTCTGCAGCTTCTCGGGGGGGCGCCCCGCCTTCCTCCCACAGTGATCTCCCTACCCAGCATGTACGAGGGGCTCGTGCGTGGCCTGTGTGGAAACTATGACAATAACCGCAAGAATGACATGATGCTGCCCAGTGGCGCCCTGACCCGGAACCTCAACACCTTTGGCGACAGCTGGGAGGTGAAGACCGAGGGCGTCCTCCTCCGCTTCCCCAGGTGCGTGGCCTGGAAGGGATGAAGCTGGGGAGGTGAACAACAGTGTCTGTGCACGGTGGCCGCTAGCCCTCCTGTCCTCAGCAGAGGATGAAACTCCAAGGAGAGGGTGCAGAGAGGCCTGGATCCTCCCAGTTCCGTCATTCCCTCTCACCTGACTCTGGGGGTACCCGCTCAATGGAAATCCCGCTCTGTGCCCCCGCTCTGCGTTCAGCCTGCCTTCCCAGTTCTTCTTCTTCCTTCTTTTTTTCCTTCTTCCTTCTTTCTCCTCCTCCTCCTCCTCCTCCTCTTCCTCCTCCTTCTTTTTCTCTTCCTCCTCCTCCTCCTTTTCCTTCTTCTTCTTCCTCTGTCACCCAGGCTGGAGTGCAGTGGCGTGATCTCAGCTCACTGCAACCTCTGCCTCCCAATTTCAAGCGATTCTCGTGCCTTAGTCTCCCGAGTAGCTGGGACTACAGGCATACACCACCACTCTTGGCTAATGTTCATATTTTTAGTAGAGATGGGGTTTCACCATGTTGACCATACTGGTCTTGAACTCCTGACCTCAAGGGATCCGCCCACTTTGGCCTCCCAAAGTGCTGAGATTACAGGTGTGAGCCACCACACCCAGCCCCATTTCTTATTTCTTTTTTTAAAATATATTTTTTAGAGATGGGGTCTTGCTCTGTTACCCAGGTTGGAGTGCAGGGGCGTGATCTTGGCTCACTGCAGCCTCCACCTCCTGGGCTCAAGTATCCTCCTGCCTCATCTCCCGAGTAGCTGGGACTCCAGGCAGGCACCACCACACCCAGCTAATCAGTTGTTCTTCTTCTTTCCCCACTTCACCTTCCTCGGGGCCTCACCTGACCCCGTGGCTGTCTCTGCCGCAGGGCTATACCAGTGGAGGAAAGACGAGGGGTGGAACTGGGCCTCCGCGTGTCCGAATGTAGCCCGGAGCAGTTGGCGAGCAACAGCACCCAGGCCTGTAGGGTGCTGGCAGACCCCCAGGGCCCATTTGCTGCCTGTCACCAGACAGTGGCCGCAGAGCCCTTCCAGGAGTGAGTCATGGGCCCAGGACTTGCGGGAATGGCCCAGGTGCCTGCTCTGGTCTTTCCCTGGGGCCTCGTGCCCACTTCCTGACCCAAGCCCTGTGTGGTTCACTCCTCCGTTCTCCCTGTGGCCTCATTTCCTTGTGACCCTCCCTGGACACCGACTGATGTCTTTCTATTTGGGGTTCCAGGCTCTCTTCTGCAGGGGTGGGTCTCCTCCCCTCCCCAAACTCTGACTGCACCCTTCCTGCCCCCTCTCTGCCCCAGGCACTGCGTGCTGGATCTGTGCTCCACTCAGGACCCAAGAGAGCAAGAGGAGCTGCGCTGCCAGGTCCTCAGTGGGTACGCCATCCTCTGCCAGGAGGCGGGCGCTGTCCTGGCTGGCTGGCGGGACCGCACCCTCTGCGGTGAGGCACTGCCCCTCCCCGTGCCGACCCTGACCCCTCTGCCATCCACCTCTGCTGAACACTTTTCCCACCACTGCCTCATCTCGGACTTTCTGTCTTAGTCTCAGCATCCCTCGAATTTCTGTCTCAGTCCCAGGTCCAAGTCAGCACAACCAGCAGCTTGCCTCCTTCTCTGCCCCTACCTGGGAGCCTCCCAACCCCATCCCACATCCCACTCCTTCCTGCCAAGGTCCACCTCTGCTCAACCAGTTCCTTCAAATGCTCTAATGTTGCAGACAAAAAGACCCTGGATGGGCTGGGCGTGGTGGCTCACACCTGTAATCCCAGTGCTTTGGGAGGCCGAGGCTGGAGGATGGCTTGAGCCCAGGAGTCCCAGGCTGCAGTGAACCATGACTGCACCACTGCACCCCAGCCTGGGCAACAGAGCAACATCCTATTAAAAAAAAAAAAAGAAAAGAAAAGAAAAGAAAGAAAGAAAAAGAAAAAAGAAAGAAAGAAAAAGAAAAGACTAGGCAGGCTGGGCGTGGTAGCTCACACCTGTAGCTTCACCACTTTGGGAGGCTGAGGCGGGAGGATCAATTGAAGCCAAACGTTTGAGACCAGTTTGGGCAACACAGTGAGACCCCATCTCTATAAAAATTTTAAACAAATTAGCCAGGTGTGGTGGTGCATGACTATAGCTCCAGTCACCGGGGAGACTGAGGTGGGAGGATCACGGGAACCCAGGAGTTGGAGGCTGCAGTGAGCTGTGATAACGCCAGCCTGGGCACTCCAGCCTGGGCGACAGAGTGAGACTCCATCTCAAAAAAAAAAAAGAAAAAGAAAAAAAGACCCTAGATGAAGCTGCGATGCGTTCTGGCTTCCTGCCTATAAGCAACTCTGAGTGTTTTTGTTGTTGTTGTGGTTGTTTGAGACGGAGTTTTGCTCTTTGTCGCCCAGGCTGGAGTGCAATGGTGCGATCTTGGCTCACTGCAACCTCCGCCTCCCGGGTTCAAGTGATTCTCCTGTCTCAGCCTCCCGAGTAGCTGGGATTTCAGGTGCCCGCCACCATGCCCGGCTCATTTTTGTATTTTTAGGAGAGATGGGATTTCACCATGTTGGCCAGGCTGGTCTTGAACTCCTGACCTCACGTGATCCACCTGCCTCATCCTCCCAAAGTGTTGGGATTACAGGTGTGAGCCGCTGCATCCAGCCTACTCTGAGTTTTATTGGGTGACCTTGCCCCTGTTTGGCCTGCCCAGCCCCAGCCAACTTCTGACCATGATTGTCCCCGCAGCCATGGAGTGTCCAGCAGGTACTATGTATCAGAGCTGTATGACACCCTGCCCAGCGTCCTGTGCCAACCTGGCGGACCCCAGGGACTGCGAAGGCCCCTGCGTGGAAGGCTGTGCCAGCATCCCAGGCTATGCCTACAGCGGCACCCAGAGCCTCCCGCTGGCTGACTGTGGCTGCACCAGCAATGGCATCTACTACCAGGTCCGGGCTGGCAGCGGGAGGGCCCGGGGAACAGAGGTGCCAAGGAGAGCCAGACCAGGGATGGAACTGGAACGTCTCCTCCTGACCCCTCCCCTTTCTAGCTGGGCAGCAGCTTTGTGACTGAGGACTGCTCTCAGCGCTGCACCTGTGCCAGCTCACGGATCCTGCTGTGCGAGCCATTCAGCTGCAGAGAGGGGGAGGTCTGCACCCTGGGGAACCACACCCGAGGCTGCTTTCCAGGTGAACCTGCACCCCTGCCCGGTTCCAAGCTGCCCCATGCCCTGGGGCATCCATGGACCACGGATCGTCCCCTTGTTGTCCTGGGGACTCTTCCACATTGATTTCAGGACGTCTGTCCCTGCCTTTGTCGGGAGAGACAAAGGACAAAGATCTCCCCTTCCCTAAGCATCCACGACCTGCCCAATCCTTCCCTAGCATTCCTTCCCATTATCTCCTTCAGCCCTGGTGGTTAGCACAGCACTTCTAATTTATACATAACAAACATGGAGTTCAGAGAGGTTAAGCAGTTTCCTGCCTGTAATCCCAGCATTTTCCGAGGTGAAGTGGGAGAATCGCTTTGAGCTCAGGAGTTCAAGATCAGCCTGGGCAATACGGGGAGACATCGTCTCTACTAAACATTAAAGAAAAAAAGAGCTGGGTGTGGTGGTGCACTCCTGTAGTCTCAGCTACTTGGAAAGCTGAGGTGGGAAGATCACTTGAGCCTAAGAAATTGAGGCTACAGTGAGCTATAATTGTGCCACTGCACTCCAGCCTGGGTGACAGAGTGAGATCCTGTCTCAAAAAAGAAGAGAAGAGAAGGGAGAAGGGGAGGGAAGGGGAGAGGAGGGAAGGAAGGGAGGGAAAGGAGGGGAGAGGAGGGGAGAAGAGACAGAGGGAGGGAGGGAGGAAGAGAGGAAGAAAGGAAAGAAGAGATGAAAGAGTTTCGAAGGGCCGGTGCACGGTGGCTCACGCATGTAATCCCAGCACTTTGGGAGGCCGAGGCAGGCGGATCACAAGGTCAGGAGATTGAGACCATCCTGGCTAACACCATGAAACCCCATATCTACTAAAAAAATACAAAAATTAGCCAGGTGTGGTGGTGGGCGCCTGTAGTCCCAGCTACTTGGGAGGCTGAGGCAGGAGAATGGTGTGAACCTGGGAGGTGGAGCTTGCAGTGAGCCGAGATCGCGCCACTGCACTCCAGCCTGGGCGACAGTGCAAGACTCCGTCTCAAAAAAAAAAAAAAAGAGTTTCGAAGGAAGGAAGTTTCCCCAAAGCCCAGGGCTAGTGAGGCAGGGTTGGGAGCCAGGCTGGCTGACCCCTGGCCAGTCTCTGGCAGCCGCTACTTTCTGCCCTGGCGTCCCAGCCTCCAGCCAGCCCTCCCCTGAGCAGGGAATGTCCTCCCAGGGCCCCCCTCCCACAACCCTGTCTGTCCTTGCAGAAAGCCCGTGTCTGCAGAACCCCTGTCAGAATGACGGGCAGTGTCAGGAGCGGGGAGCCACCTTCACCTGCGACTGTGAGGTTGGTTATGGGGGAGACCTCTGTACGGAGCCTCGAGATGTGCCACCTCCCAGAAAGCCAGGTGAGGGCATCATCCAAGGCCCTGTACCCTCACAGCCTCTTCCCAGCCGACAACCACAGAATGATTCTATATGTATTATATTCACATATAGAATGATATGCATTATAATATGTTATAGATATATATTATAAACAATGTCGATTTGTATATATAATTGATATTAATATATTAATATATGTTGTATGTTAATTATATATTTATATATTGCATATATTATAGTAGGAATTGTATTATAATATAATCCCTAGAAATTAGCCGGACAAGCATCCTCAAAAAACCAGTCCTGGCCGGGCGCGGTGGGTCACACCTGTAATCCCAGCACTTTGGGAGGCCGAGGTGGGCGGATCACAAGGTCAGGAGATCGAGACCATTCTGGCTAACACGGTGAAACCCTGTCTCTACTAAAAATTCAAAAAGTTAGCCAGACGTGGTGGTGTGTGCCTGTAGTCCCAGCTACTCAGGAGGCTAAGGCAGGAGAATCACTTGAACCTGGGAGGTGGAGGTTGCAGTGAGCCAAGATCAAGCTACTGCACTTCAGCCTGGGTGGCAGAGCAAAAATCCGTCTCAAAAAAAAAAAAAAAAATTAGCTGGGTATGGTGGTGCACAGCTGTAATCCCAGCTACTCGGAGGCTGAAGCACAAGACTCGCCTGAACCCGGGAGGCAGAGGTTGCCATGAGGTAAGATCGCACTACTGCGCTCGAGCCTGGGTGACAAAGCAAGACTCCATCTCAAAAAAAAAACCAAAAACCAAAAACCAAAACAAAACAAAAAACCAGTTCCTGTGCCCACCTCCTACCTATATACTGTGGAATCTTCTCTCTGAAGCTCAGCTCCCCATTCCTGTGACCTGTATCTCTCACCCCTGCTGCTTCCTCCTCCTGTGTCCATCGGTGCCTCTCCAGCACCTTCCACTGTCCTTCCCTGTCCCAAACTACAATTCCCATGAGCCTCTGGGCCAGCGGTTCTCCAGCTTTATCTTGTCTAAGATTGAAGAAGGGGTAACTTGTGAACATGTGTATTCCAGAACACACCCCGAAAGATCAGATGCGGTAGGTCTGGAGTGGGCCCAGGAATCTTTTTTTTTTTTTTTTTTTGAGACAGAGTCTTGCTCTGTTGCCTAGGTTGGAGTGCAGTGGCATGATCTCCGCTCATTGCAACCTCCGCCTCCCAGCTTCGAGCGATTCTCCTGTCTCAGCCTCCTGAGTAGCTGGGATTACAGGCGCCGGCCACCACGCCTGGCTAATTTTGTATTTTTAGTAGAGACAGGGTTTCGCCATCTTGGCCAGGCTGGTCTCGAACTCCTGACCTCAGGTGATCCTCCCACCTCAGCCTCCCAAAGTGCTGGGATTACAGGATGAGCCACCGCACCCAGTCAGAATCTGCATTTTCAACAAGGGCCCAGGAAACTATGGAAGTGACTCCAGGGCTACTCTTTGAGAAATGCTGGCTGAGATGACACCTGGACTCTAGGGCACCTACGAAGAACAGCTACCCCCTCTAAATAGGCTTAAGGGAGGGCAGGCATGGTGGTTCATGCCTGTAATTCCAGGACTTTGGGAGGCTGAGGCAGGAGGATCGCTTGAGCCCAGGAATTCAAGACCAGCCTGGTAACATAGCAAGACCCCATCTCTACAAAACATCACGAAAATTAACTGGGTGTGGTGGCATGTGCCTGTAGTCCCAGCTACTTGGAAAGGAGGCTGAGGTGGGAGGATCGCTTGAGCCCGGGAGTTCAAGGCTGCAGAAAGCTTTGATTTGGCTACTGCACTCCAGCCTGGGCAACAGAGCCAGACCCCGTCTAAAAAGGCTTATGGGAAACAGAAAACATTGTGGGGGTAGGGGCGCTAAGACCTTGGAGTCCCTGGAGGTGAGAACCTCCTGGAGGGAGAAGCAGACACACCTAGAGATTTAGAGAGATGAGGTCCCCTGGGGTAGCACGCAGTCCCCAAAAGGGAGTGCCCATCAGTCCCCACCCTTCCTGTCTCACGTTCGACCTAATGTCTCTTCCCCGCACCTGGAAGCATCTAACCCGGTGGCCGTCCTACTGGGACTGCTGGTGCCTGTGGTGGTCGTAGTACTGGCTGTGACCAGAGAGTGCATTTATAGAATGAGGAGGAAGAGGTGAGTCCTGGGAAGAGGAAGGGCGGGTGGGGTGTGCAAATGGGGGAGTGCAAACGGGGGAGCGGCTGGGCCCATAAAGGGCCACTCGGGGACCCATGTCTATTCCCCCATGCCTTCTAGAGAGAAAATGCAGAGCCAGGAGCCAGACAGACTGGCCAGGCTGGTGGACACAGGTGAGAACCGACCCCACAGCCCGGAACCTTGGGGCCTAGAGTTGAGTCTCCTCTCATACATGGTTTTCTTGCTTTCTCCTCAGATATTGTTCTGGACTGTGCCAGTTAAGTTGCTCAGTTTTGAGTTGTCTTCAAACAAGAAGATTAAATAAATATACGTATTTATTTATTTGAGACAGGGTTTTGCTCTATCATCCAGGCTGGAGTGCAGTGGCACAATCAGAGCTCACTGCAGCCTCAACCTCCTGGGCCTCCTGCCTCAGCCTCCCGGGTAGCTGGGACTGCAGGCATGTGTCACCATGAGGGTTAAATTTTAACATCATTGTTTTTGTAGAGATAGGGGAGAGGGTCTCACTACGTTGCCCAGGCTGGTCTCAAACTCCGGGCCTCCAGCAATCCTCCCGCCTTGGCCTTCCAGGGCACTGCAGTTACAGGCATGAGCCACGGCACCTGGCCAAAATTATTTATTTTTGTTTTGTGTTTTTGTTGAGACAGAGTCTCGCTCTGTCTGGAGTACAGTGGTGTAATCTCTGTTCACTGCAACCTCCGCTTCCTGGGTCAAGCAATTCTCCTGCCTCAGCCTCCTAAGTAGATGGGATTACAAGTATGCACCACCTTGCCTGGCTAATTTTTGTATTTTTAGTAGAGATGAGGTTTTGCCATGTTGGCCAAGCTGGTTCCCGAACTCCTGACCTCGAGTGATCCGCCCAACTTGGGCTCCCAAAGTGCTGGGATTACAGGCGTGAGCCACCGTGCCTGGCCCAAAATTATGTATTTTTGAGACGTGAATGTCCACATGATTATGGTGGAGGAAGTTGGGTCTTAGAGGGAGGAAAATGAGGGAGAGAGGCACGTGGAGGACTAGGTAGGGCTGGGTTCTGTGCAAAATGTCTAGAGGGGAGAGGAACCTAGGTTTGAGGTGAGGGTGTTGTCCCTGAGAGAAAACCACATGGGGGTGGCCCATTCGGTCCCGGCAAGGCTGACATCACTGGGGGAGACAGAAGGAGCAGGGAGGGCAGAAGGAACAGGGCAGGCAGGGGAATGGAGGGTGGGGTGCAGCCCCAGACCCTTGGCTTCTGATTTAGGAGAAGACTTCACCCCAGGAATCCGAGTGCTTAGAGGATATGGCCTCTGGCTCCCCACCAAGGTGATTCTGAGAAATTTTACATGTCAAATACAGACTAAGGTTGGGGAATGTGGCTTTTTCTTTTTTCTTTTTTTTTGGAGACAAGGTCTCACTCTGTTGCCCAGGCTAGAGTGCAGTGGTGCAGTCACAGCTCACTGCAGCTTTGACCCCCAGGGCTCAGATGATCCTCCCATCTCAGCCTCCTGAGTAGCTGGTACTACAGGTATGCACCACTACGCCTGACTAATTTTGATGTTTTTTGGAAGAGAGAGGGTCTCACTATGTCGCCCAGGCTGGTCTTGAACTCCTGGGCTCAAAGAGCTCAGCCTGCCTCCACCTCCCAAAGTACTAGGAATACACGTGAGTCATCTCGCCCAGCCAAATGTGGCCTGCCTGCCTTCCCTCCCTCCCTTCCTTCTTTCCTTCCTTCCTCCATCCTTCCCTTCTCCTTCCCTTCCTTTTCTTCCTCTCTTCCTCCTTCATTTCCTTCCTTCTTTCCTTCCTTCCTCCCTCCTTCCCTCCCTGCCTCTCTTCCTTCTTCCCTCCCTCCCTCTCTTTTTCTTTCTTTCTCTCTCCCCTCCCTCCCTCCCTTCCTTCCTTCCTTTTTTAGAGATAGGTGCTTCCTGTTACCCAGGCTAGAGTGCAGTGGTGCAATCATAGTTCACCCACCAAGTCCCTCCCACGCTTCCTCGGGGGTACAAAACAAGGGTGATGTGTCACCAAAGGAAGATGGGACAGAGGACTCAAGAGCCCGAGAGACTCCAGAAGAGGGCAGTAGAGGTGAGAAATTGAGGACAAGACTCCCTGGGCTGGAAAGGGCCCAAGCTGTGATTTGGGGTCCAGCACTGACACAAACACGACAACAGGGGGCGACGGAGGTGTAGAAATGGAAAAAGCAGGTCGGGCGTAGTCGCTCACGCCTGTAATCCCAGCGCCTTGGGAGGCTGAGAGGGGAGGACTGCTTGAGGCCAGGAGTTTGAGATCAACCTGGGCAACATTATGAGGCGCAGTCTCTACAAAGAATAAAAAATCAGCTGGGCATGGTGGTGCACTACTCGGGAGGCTCAGATGGGAGCTTGAACTCCTGGGCTCAAGCCTCAGCCTCTCAAGTAGTCAGGACTACAGGCGCACATCACCACGCCCTGGCTAAAAAAAGTGGGTTTTTCCAAAAAAGCAAATCAGCCTGTGACCCTCTGGGGAGGCCCCCACCCTCGGCATTCCTCCATTTCCCAAAAGGGGCTGGGGGTTACTGAGGGCGGGGTCTGGGGTCTGCGTTGCTGAAGAATTCTGACCTCTATCCTAGTAGGAGTGACCCACTCACCCCAGCCTGAGGCCAAGATGCAAATGTCCCGCCCCCTTCCTTGGGACTCCTGCCTCCCATCAGGCAGGTCCTTGCTTGGGAGTGGGGACTGGGACGTTTTGCTTGGGCTCTAAGAAGGAAAGGAAGGCTTGCTGGGTGCGGTGGCTCACACCTGTAATCCCAGCACTTTGGGAGGCTAAGGCGGGCGGATCTTTCGAAGTCAATAGTTGGAAACTAGCCTGGCTAACATGTTGCAGTGAGCCGAGATTGCACCACAGCACTCCAGCCTGGGCAACAGAGTGAGACTGTCTTAAAAAAAAAAAAAAAGGGGGCCAGGAACAGTGGCTCACGCCTGTAATCCCAGCACTTTGGGAGGCTGAGGCGGGCAGATCACGAGGTCAGGAGATCGAGACCATCCTGGCCAACACAGTGAAGCCACATCTCTACTAAAAATACAAAAAAAACTAGGCGGGCGTGGTGGTGGGCGCCTGTAGTCCCAGCTACTCAGGAGGCTGAGGCAGGAGAATGGCGTGAACCCGGGAGGCGGAACTTGCAGTGAGCCGAGATCACACCACTGCACTCCAGCCTGGGCAACAGAGCAAGACTCCGTCCCAAAACAAAACAAAACACTGACAATTGGGCTGGTGGAGGATCGGGACGTAGGACCCCAAAGGGGATTTGGGTTTGGGGATGTCAAAACAGGGAGGATAGGCTGGGTGTGGTGGCTCACACCTGTATTCCCAGTGCTTTGGGAGGCTGAGGAGGGAGAGTTGCTTGAGGTCAGGAGTTGGAGACCAGCTTGAGCAACACAGCGAGTCCCTGTCTCTACAAAAATGTAAGAAATTATTGGGTGACTGAGGCGGGAGGACTGTCTGAGCCCAGGAGTTCCAAGCTGCAGTGAGCTATAATTGCACCACTGCACTCCAGCCTGGGCAACGGAACAGGACCCTGTCTCTAAAGAAACCACCAACCAACGAGGGAGGATTGAGTTCTAGAAATGTATTATACTCTGCGCTCATCCTCTGGGATGACACGCCCTGAGGCCACCTTCGTGGAAGGAAGGAAGACCCAACATGGGGAAGGAAAGGACCCTGGGAAGGAAGGGTCCTGCCCAGCGAGACTCTCCCTTTCCCTAGCTGGGAGAGCATTCGCGCTGGGGAGCTGGATGTGGCAGGAAGGCTCAGGGCAGCCTGGAGTTGTTGGGCTGGACCTCAGGGGGCTTCTGCAGCCCCCTGCCCTGACCCCAGCTCCCCACACCGGGTCTTCACTCTTGGCCTCTCTGCTGTGCCTCTGCAATGCCCATTAACTTTTCTTCAGCTACCAGCTCTCTAGGATACCTTATCTAGCCTGGATGTCTGGTTGGCAGGGGAAGAGGGTAGGCCTGAGCAACATCCTCTGGATGGACCCGAGTCCCTCCCACACCTCCTCGGGGGTACGAAACATGGGTGATGTGTCACCAAGGGAAGAGGGGACAGAGGACTCAAGAGCCTGAGGAACTCCAGAAGAGGGTTGTAGAGGTGGGAAATTGAGGACAAGCCTCCCTGGACCGGGAAGGGCCCAAGCTGATTTGGGGTCCAGCACTGACCCAAACGCGTCAACAGGGGGCGACTCAAGTGCAGAAATGGAAAAGGCAGGTTGGGCGCGGAGGTTCACGCCTGTAATCCCAGCGCCTCGGGAAGCTGAGAGGGGAGGATCACTTGAGGCCAGGAGTTTGAGATCAGCCTGGACAAACTTGTGAGACCCACGCCCCCAGCCCATCTCTACAAAAAAATTTAAAAATCAGTTGGGCGTGGTAGCGTGTGCCTGGAGGATTCCCAGTTACTCAGAAGGCTGAGATGGGAGGATCCCTTGAGCCCAGGAGTTCAAGGTTATAGTGAACTATGATCATTCCACTGCACTCCAGCCTAAGCGACAGAGCAAGACCCTGTCTCAAAAACAAACAAAAAAGCAAAAAAACAGAAAAAGAAATGGACCAGGTTAAGCCAGGCTGGTCCTTGTCAAGACCTGCCCCTGCAGGTGTCCAGGGGGAGGCCAGAAAGATCCCTGGAGAAAAGGACACAGAAAATGGCAAGAAAGAGAGCGGGGCCTTTGGAGGGGGAAGTTGGGGGAAGACAGGAGGTTCCCCCTCCCGTTTCCAAGAGGCTGGGAGAACCTGCCCGGGCAGCATCTTGAATGGGAGAATTGTCCTTGGCCCAGCCACCCGCGCAAGTGCCTGTGTACACACGTGGGGGGCCCCTTCTTCCCTTCCCCCACAGCCAATGCAGACACTCTCCCCGCATTGCCTCGAAATCTACCCCAGCTGTCAACATCTGGCCCCCATCTGTCTCCTTCATCCAACAGGACCCCCTGGCTCCAGCTCCTGCTCCCTCCTCCCTCTCCAGGGGCTGTGGGGCAGGGCTGGGAGCTCAAGGCCTTCCCTCCTTCCCTCCCGCAGCAGCCCCTGGCCAGGATGGAGGAACCAGCACAGGGGAGGGAGAGGACAGCCCCACCCCGGAGGTGCCCCAGGCTCTTGGCAGAGCCAGCTGGAGCCGTTAGAAGCAGATGCCGAATGATTCATCTCACCCCACCACCTCAAACACACCCTGGGGCTCATAACCGAGTTGCAGCCCCTACAGCCCTGCAGCCTCCACACCTCTGACCCCTCTCTGTCAGTCACAAAGCCCTCCCTACCCAGCCCCACTCCTTAGAAATGTAGTCCATCACCCCCGTCACCCCCGGAGCTGGGACACGTCCCATTTTCTTTTATTCATACAAAAAGTTACTTTTTTAAATATAATTTAAGAACCCCTCCAAGCACCGGCATCCGTTTCTGGGTTCCACCACCACCTACCGCCCCTTTTACTACCTCACCCTGCACCCCTTCATGGGACACAGCTTGGGGGTCCCAGGCGGGATCCGGGGAGGTGGCATGACCAAGGCACTGTTCTGGAAACAGACACAATGATGGATCCCTGTTTCAACTTGGGCAAAGGAGGCCGTAGTGAAAAACAGGTTCCCTCCAACACAGAGTTGTGACAAGGACGGTAGAAAAACGAAACGAAAAAACAAGAAGGGAACGGGGAGAAAAATTAAGACCAAAAACAAAACTCAAAAACCTTCAATATGAAGGCAGCAGCTGGGGGAGAGGCATTTACAAGGGAAAAAATGATTGAGTTTGGTGGTGACAGCAGCAAGTTGGGACTACAAACCCCAATGGTTTTGTCACTGGGCCCTGACACCCCTTCTTGCCCCCTGGGACAGTCCCCCTCTCTGGAGCTGGCAAGGGAGTCACACTCTTTGGTCTGCGGGAAGGCACCCGTCAAGGTGAGGGGGGGTCACCTGGGGAGGCTGGGAGATGATGGGCGCTTCCTTTCCCTCTGGTCACACCCAGTCCCGAGGGAAAGGCACCCTCACCCTTGGTCTGGAGTTCCCCGAGGGGGCTGGGGGGGTGATTTTCCCCTCCTATTATGGCAGAACCCCCAAATCCTGTCTCTCCAAATTGCCAACTCCCCACCCCACGGGTTCAAAGTGCAATCCAGCGGGGCTCAGGGCTGGGGGCCTCTGTGAGTCCCCACTCTGCCCCAGAAAGATGAGGAGGCCCTGTCCCTGGGGTGGGCAGTTCCTGCAGGTCAGTACTGTGGGGTCGGTCCTCCAGTCCCACCCGGGGCTCCCGGCTTGGCCTGGGACTTCATGTGCTGGACACTGGCCAAGATTTTCTTCTGGTGTCCCGCCAGAGTGACTCCGATTCGGAGCAGGTCCCTGTAGAAGAAAAGGAGAGCTCAGTGAGACCCTAGGGTCCCTGTGGCCGCTCTCCTCGCTTGGCTACTGAGCTGGTCCTAGCCTCAGCATTGTAAGCCAAACAGAAAAGCCAGCGGGAGAGGGAGAACCGATGTCAACAGTTGCGGGGCAGTTTTAGGAGCCAGGCAGCCATCCTTCTGTGCAGCCGCAGTAGGGGGTGGGGCTGGAGGCCAGAGGCGGGGGGCTTTGGCTTGGGTACCAGGGAAGGAAGGAAAAGAGAGAAAGTCCCGCAAACTGAGACTAGGGGAAGAGGCTGCACAGATTGCCGTAGAGGGAAATGGAGATGTGAGAAAGAAAAGGCCGAAGTGGGAGAGGAAGAGCTGGGTGGAGAGGAAGAGGAGGTTGCTGATGGCTGGAGACTGAGATAAGGGGAAAAAAGGGAGAGGAGGCCCTCTGGGTCAGAGAGAGGCTGGGAAGAATTAGGGAGGGATGTGCCCAGGCCCCACGGGGCAGGGGCAGACTGGCCTGGGACCCTCTGGCTCTAGCCTCCTGAGTAGCTGAGACCACAGGCATGCACCACCATGCCTGGCTAAGTTTTTTGTTTTTGTTTTGTACAGATGGGGTTTTGCTATGTTGGCCAGGCTGCTCTCCAACTCCTGGGCTAAAGCATCAGTCCACCTCAGCCTCCCAAATTGCTGGGATTACAGGCATGAGCCACCACCCGGCCTTCACATTTGTTTTTTTTTTTTGAGATGGAGTTTCACTCTGTTGTCCAGGCTGGAGTGCAATGGCACAATCTTGGCTCGCTGCAACCTCCACCTCCCAGGTTCAAGCGATTCTCCTGCCTCAGCCTCCTGAGTAGCTGGTATTACAGACACGCACCACCATGCCCAGCTAATTTTTGTATTTTTAGTAGAGATAAGGTTTCACCAAGTTGTGCACAATGGGCTCGAACTCCTGATCTCAAGTTATCCACCTGCCTCGGCCTCCCAAAGTGCTGGGATTACAGGCATGAACCACCGTGCCCGGCCTTCAGATTTTTATATTCCTTCTGTTATTCAACCTGGGATGAGAGGAGATCTTGGGAGAGAAACGGGAAAGCAGAAAGGGGGAGTAGCAGACAAAGGCCAAGTGGGGATATGCAGCCTTTGGGAGGCGAGGAATCATAAAACCATTTCACATGAAAGCTGAAGAGGATCTCCAAAACCTAGCCCAATCTTCTCCTTTTATGGGTGGAAAAAGAGAACCCGAGTTGACACGTTGTTACTGTGAGAGCCGGGCCTGGAATGCAGATAGATGCACAAAGATAGATACGGAGTGAGAGGCAGAAACGCGATGGCCCAGGGCAGTGATGGCAGGAGGAGGTGAGGCGGGCAGGCTGGCCCCAAAGAGTCCTTGGGTCCTTGGCTACATGGGGCTGTTACTGCTCCTCCGGGGCCCTTCTAGGCATGGCATGAACGCCGTGCGAGAAGACAGCGTTGGCACCCGAAGCTGACCCCAAAAGCCCCTGCAGACCCCATGGGCCTGACTCCAGCTGCCTTGCTCTCCCCACCCCACTCCAGCTCTTGCCACTACTTACTCGGCAGAGATCTGGCTGACCAGCTCAAAGGAGCCAAAGCCAGCGGCTGCAAAACTTTCTTCGTATCTTCCCATCTTGATGGCCCGAAGCCACTCGCCCACAGAGCCAAAAGCTGAGTAGTGAGGCTGCCGCTGGTCCAGGAGAGGGTGTGAGGCCCTGGGGGGCAAGGATGGGGAGGAATGCTGAGTACCAGGCGCGGGTCCAGGCGAGTAGGTGGAGCCCAGCCTTGGAGAGGCGGACAGAGACCCTTCCGCCTAACATCAATGAACAGACACTTCTGGGCAAGGAGTGGGGACAGAGAGCAGGAAGGGGCCCATTCCCTGCAGTCCTCACCCGCCATTCTCCCGGGCCACGATTTTGAGGCTGGCAGGGTTCCGGATCATCTTGTCCAGGGCGCTAACCACCTGAGGGAAGCGGGGCCGGGCATTCCGGTCTTTCTGCCAACAGTCCAGCATGAGCTGGTGGAGGGACGTGGGACAGTCTGGGGGCGGGGGCAGCCGGTAGTCCTGTTCAATGGCATTGATCACCTGGAAAGAGGGGAAGCAGCTCTGGGTAAGGCTGTCCAGGAAAAGCAAGATGCTAACAGGCCCAGGTAATGGTGGCCTGGCAGATGGTAGCACAGCAGCCACAGCCCCCACAAAAATCACAGATCCAGGAATCTTCCTAGCCGGAGTTGAAGCCCTCTGTGGCTGGAGGCCCCAGCAGCTCTTAGGCTATGATACAGACATGTTACCTCCCAACCCTGCCTTCCGTCTCTGCATCCTTCTGCGACCCAAATATGCTGTATCCAACTCTTTTTTTTTTTTTTTTTGAGACAGTCTCGCTCAGTCGCCCAGGCTGGAGTGCAGTGGCGCGATCTCGGCTCACTGCAAGCTCCGCCTCCTGAGTTCTTGCCATTCTTCTGCCTCAGCCTCCCGAGTAGCTGGGACTACAGGCGCCCGCCACTACGCCCGGCTAATTTTTTTTTGTATTTTTAGTAGAGACGGGGTTTCACCGTGTCGGCCTGGATGGTCTCGATCTCCTGACCTTGTGATCCACCCGTCTCGGCCTCCCAAAGTGCTGGGATTACAGGCGTGAGCCACGGCGCCTGGCCCCAACTCTTTTATTTATCTTGTAAGATGAAGTCTCATTCAGTTGCCCAGGATGGAATGCAATGGCGTGATCTTAGTTCACTGCAGCCTCTGTTCCTGGGTTCAAGCGATTCTCCTGTCTCAGCCTCCCGAGTAGCTGGGATTACAGGCACCCACCATCATGCTCGGCTAATTTTTTGTATATTTTTAGAGACGGGGTTTCACCATGTTGGCCAGGCTGGTCTTGAACTCCTGACCTCAGGTGATCTGTCCACCTTGGCCTCCCAAAGTGCTGGGATTACAGGTGGGAGACACCACGCCAGATCCCCAACTCTTTTTAAAACTTTTTTGTAGAGATAGGATCCGGCTGTGATACCCAGGCTGGTCTCAAGATCCTGAGTTCAAGTGATCCCCCCTCCTCAGCCTCCCATAGTGTTGGGATTACAGGCGTTGAGCCACTAGGCCTGGCCCTGCATCTCAACTCTTTGATACAAAGATCAATTCTCCTTTTTTGTCATCTCCACGGTCTCAAGAACCCAGCAGTCATGACTTTCTGGGAACCCACCCTTCACCCCAAATCCCAGGTGAGAAAACACTCGAGGAAAGCTTGGTACGACCATGGGACACTTACATCCTGATTGCTCATGTCCCAGTATGGCCGCTCCCCAAATGACATCACCTCCCACATCACAATCCCGTAACTCCAGGCATCACTGGCAGAAGTGAACTTCCGGAATGCAATGGCCTCCGGGGCAGTCCATCGGATGGGAATCTTTCCTCCCTGAAGAAGGAGGAGAAAAGGTGAGCTGGGGGACTCACTGAGGGACTCACCAGACCCAGCACACTGCCCCCTAGACCCCAACCCCACTCGGCTTTTTTCCCCTAGCTCAGGTCCCAAGCCTCCTACTCTCCAATGCTGTTTGCCCAGGTTGGACTGCAGTGCCACAATCTTGGCTCACTGAAACCTCCGTCCCCCTGGTTCAAGTGATTCTCCTACCTCAGCCTCCTGAGTAGCTGGGATTACAGGCGTACACCACCTCCCCCACCCCAGCTAATTTTGTATTTTTAGTAGTGACAGGGTTTCCCAATGTTGGCCAGGCTGGTCTCGAACTCCTGACCTCAGGTGATCCTCCCGCCTCAGCCTCCCAAAGTGCTGAATGAATTTACAGGCATGAGCCACCATGCCTGGCCACTGTTCTTTCGAGACAGGGTCTTACTCTGTCGCCCAGGCTGCAGTACAGTGGCACATTCATAGCTCACTGCAGCCTCCAACTCCTGGGCTTAAGCGATCCTCCTGCCTCAACCTCCCAAATAGCTGGGACTACAGATGCATGCCACTGCGCCTGGCTAATCTTTTACCTTTTTTGTAGAGATGGGGTCTTGCTGTGTTGCCCAGGTTATCCAACTGTTATTTTCCTAGACATCTGGAAGTCGGCTTCCCGGAGCTGACTGTCCCCGCCACCCACAGCCTGCTCCTCTATCCTCTCCCTGGAGCAGGGCTGCCAAGCCCTCAGCCTCCCACCTTTCCAACCTGCGCTCCCCACCTGGCCCTAAGAAGCTCACGCCCCTGGTCCCCAGCGTTACCAGGGAGCTCGTGTAGGTGGGATCGGAAGAGTTCTCCTCCAGGAATCGGGAAAGGCCAAAATCAGACACTTTGCAGACCAGGTTGCTATTGACTAGGATGTTGCGAGCAGCCAGGTCTCGGTGGACGTAGCTCATCTCGGCAAGGTACCGCATGCCCGAGGCGATGCCCCGCAGCATGCCCACGAGCTGGATGACCGTGAACTGTCCGTCGTTCAGCTGGAGAGCAGATGGGGTGGGGGCTTGGTGAGGACAGCCCACCCACCATTCCCCCTCCCATCCACATCTTTTTTTTTTTAACACTTTAAGTTCTAGGATACATGTGCACAACGTGCAGGTTTGTTACATATGTATACGTGTGCCATGCTTTTTTTCTTTTTTGAGGCGGAGTCTCGCTCTGTCGCCCAGGCTGGAGTGCAGTGTTGCGATCTCGGCTCACTGCAAGCTCCGCCTCCCGGGTTCATGCCATTCTCCTGCCTCAGCCTCCCGAGTAGCTGGGACTACAGGTGCCTGCCACCACGCCCGGCTAATTTTTTGTATTTTTAGTAGAGACGGGTTTTCACCATGTTAGCCAGGATGGTCTCGATCTCCTGACCTCATGATTCGCCTGCCTCGGCCTCCTGAGTAGCTGGAACAATAGGCATGTGCTATTATGTCTGGATAATTTTTTAACTTTTAGTAGAGATAGGTTCCCATTATGTTGCCCAGGCTGGTCTTTAACTCCTGGCCTGAAGCGATCCTTCCGCCTGGGTCTCCCAAAGCACTGGGATTACAGGTGTTGAGTCACCACATCCAGCCTCCCGTCCACTTCCTAAACTGTATATGTCACTTCCAGACGCACCTCACAACTCACCTGTAGGGCAAGTCCCCAACTCTCCCAGGTGAGCCTTACCTTTCTTTTCCCAAGTTTTCTCGGTTCTTGCTACAATATCACAACCCATTGCTTAATTTACAATGGTTGCTGTTTCAATGGTAAGTATTCAGTCTCTCCAAATTAGGTTACAATTTGAAAAATTATCTCAAGTTTTCCTTCTATTTAACCTGCTACACTGCCTTACACCCAGGAAATACTCAACAAATGCTTTTCTGTTTTTCAGTTTTTTGGAGACAGGGTCTCTTTCTTTCTCCCAGGTTGGAGTGCAGTGGCACGATCATGGTTCACCACAGCCTTAAACTCCTGGGCTTAAAGGATCCTTCTGCCTCAGCCTCCTTAGTAGCTGGGACTACAGGTGCACACTGCACCTGGCTAATTAAAACAAAGGTTTTTTGTTTTTTTTTTTTGGTAGAGGTGGGGGTCTCACTGTGTTTCCCAGGCTTGTCTCTAACTCCTAGCCTCAAGCAATCTTCCCACCTTGGCCTCCCGCAAGGTGCTGGGATTACAGGCATGAGTCACCTGAGCGACCTGTCTACAGGTGGAGATGCACTGGTGCTGATCCAACCACAAAACTGTTCAGTCCTCTTGGACTAGCTGTGTGTGGATTTGCAAGAGAACAGTGAGGAACTGCAGTATGGCCACTGATTGAGTGCAGAAACCAAGGTCTGAAGCCCAACCTTGACCTTGAGAGAGTTCCCTCTCACCAGGGAAACCAACAAGTCACAGACAGTAAACAAATCCCATTTTCTGGGTTCAGCTAAGATTCGGGAGACCGTCTGCAGCCCTACAGAACCAGGGACATAGAGTCCAAAAACTGAATTCTGAATCCCCTCCAGACCTGCACCTGCCCTACTCCCCGCTCAGTTCATGGCAACACCATCACTTGTCAGATGGTCAGGGTATAGACCTCAGAGTCTCCTGTGACCCCCTTTTCTCCCTCACCAGCCACTTCCTATCCATCGGCAAGTTCTGCTGGTGATGCTTCCAAGACATGTCCCAAATCCAAACCCTTCCCTTCACCCCACGGCCTGGATGTTGGCAACAGACTTCTGCTGCAGGCCTCTCCCAGCTCCCGCTCTTGCTCCCCAGCATTCAGCAAAGACGTCTTTGTATTTTTTTTTTTTTTGAGACGGAGTCTCGCTCTGTTGCCCAGGCTGGAGTAAAGTGGCATTATCTCGACTCACTGCAACCTCCGCCTCCTGAGTTCAAGCGATTCTTCTGTCTTAGTCTCCTGAGTAGCTGGGATTACAGGGGTGCACCACCATGCCTGGCTAATTTTTGTATTTTTAGTAGAGACAAGGTTTCACCATGTTGGCCAGGCTGGTCTCAAACTCCTGACTTCAAGTGATCCACCTGCCTTGGCCTCCCAAAGTGCTGGGATTACAGGTGTGAGCCACCGTGCCCAGCTGGATCCTCTTAAACCACTCTCCTGCCAAAGCCCTCCAGCGGGTTCTCATCACACTGCCCAATGCAGGGTCTTCCATCTCTCCTCTGTTCACCAGGTTCACCTGCACTCGCCTTCCCGTCTCTCTCTCTTTTTAAGAGATGGGAGGCCAGGGGCGATGGCTCACGCCTGTGATCCCAGCACTTTTTGGGAGGCTGAGGCGGGTGGATAACCAGGTCAGGAGATCAAGACCATCCTGGCTAACACGGTGAAACCCCGTTTCTACTAAGAATACAAAAAATTAGCCAGGCATGGTAGCGGGCGCCTGCAGTCCCAGCTACTCGGGAGGCTGAGCAGGAGAATGGCATGAACCCGGGAGGTGGAGCTTGCAGTGAGCCAAGATCGCGCCACAGCACTCCAGCCTGGGGGACAGAGTGAGACTCCATCTCAAAAAAAAAAAAAAAAAAAAAAAAGAGAATGGGATCGCCCAGGTTGGAATGCAGTAGTGCAATGATGACTCACTGCAGCCTCAATCTCCCAGGCTTAAGTGATCCTCCTGCCTCAGCCTCCGGAGTAGCTGGGACTACAGATATGTGCCATCATGCTCTGCACATTTTTGTATTTTTTGTAGAGCCGTATTTTGTATTTTGTAGAGTGCAGTGTGAGCCACTGCGCCTTTAAGCAGTTTTCTGTCTCTTTGACCAGTATTGGTGGCTCACGCCTTTAATCCCAGCACTTTGGGAGGCCAAGGAGGGTGGATGGCTTGAGGCCAGGGGTTTGAGATCAGCCTGGCCAACATGGTGAAACCCCGTCTCTACTAAAAATACAAAAATTAGTCAGGCACGGTGGCTCATGCTTGTAATCCCAGCATTTTGGGAGGCCGAGGCAGGCAGATCACGAGGTCAGAAGTTCAAGACCATCCTGGCCAATACGGTGAAACCCCGTCTCTACTAAAAATACAAAAATTAGCTGGGTGTGGTGGCGCTCGCCTGTAGTCCCAGCTGCTCAGGTGGCTGAGGCAGAAGAATCTCTTGAACCCAGAATGTGGTGGTTGCAGTGAGCCGAGATTGTTCCACTGCACTCCAGCCTGGATGACAGAGCAAGTCTCCGTCTCAAAAAACAAACAAACTAAACCAAAAAAATCCCACATCAGATAGAGCTTCTCTTACAGAAAATACAGAGAGACAAGCTAAATGATCCCACAAGAAGAATCTCATAAATCCAGAAAACAACACATTCAGGCGGACAAGAGACGCAACCCCTCAGTGTGTCAGTGTCATCATAAGGAGCTGCTCAGGATTTAGAGAGGCTCGAAAATACAATAATCAGTAGGCGCAGTGGCTCATGCCTGTAATCCCAGCACTTTGGGAGGTTAAGGAGGCAGGATCGCTTGAGTCCAGGAGTTTGAGACCAGCCTGGGCAACATAGCGAGACCCCATCTCCACAAAAAATTAAAAAATTAGCCAGGTGTGGTGGTGTGCACCTGTAGTCCCAACTACCTAGGAGGCTGAGGCAGGAGGATCACCTGAGCCAAGGAGTTTGGAGGCTGCAGTGAGCTATGACTGCACCACTGCACTCTAAATTGGGTGACAGGGCGAGACCCTTTTTCTAAAATAAATAAATAAAATATATATAATAACCAGGTACAAAGCCTGGTCCTGAACTGAATCCTGGTTGGAATAAAGCAGCTGTGAAGAACATTTTTGGAACAACTAGAGAAACGTGAAAATCAGCTGGGTATTCAATGACACTAGGGAATCACTATAATTCTGTTCAATGCAATGTTATTTTGCTACATAGAAAAATGTTTTGATTTTTTAAAAAAAGATGCCTAGGCCAAGCATGGTGGCTCATGTCTGTAATCCCAGCAATTTGTGGGGCCGAGATGGGTAGATCACTTGAGCCCAGTTCAAGACCAGCCTGGGCAACATGGTGAAACCCAGTCTCTACTAAAAATACAAAAATCAGCCCGGTATGGTGGTGCATGCCTGTAATTCCAAGCTACTCAGGAGGCTGAGGCAGGAGAACCACTTGAACCCAGGAGGTGGACGTTGTGGTGAGCCAAGAACGCACCATTGTACTCCAGCCTGGGTGACAGATGGAGACTCGGCCTTTTTTTTAAAAAAAAAAAAAAAAAAAAAGCCTAATAAAGTTAAAAAAAAAAAAAAGTCAGTAAAATCTGGTAAAGTGACCAAATAAAGTTAAGTTCTTCCCTTTCCTCTCTAGCCATATTTGCATGAATGACCCTGTTTGCTTTTTTTCACATTTGAAATGATTTGTTTACTTTTTTAAAAAGCCATCTATTTACTTGCTAATTTTCAGTCCCCGTGCCCCATTAGACCATCTGTTCCCCAGGAGCAGAAATCCAGTTTGCTGTGTGCATAGCTTTATTCCTGGGGACTGGGAGGATGCCTGGTGCATAGAAGGCACTCAGTAAATATTTGTCAAATGAAGGAATGACAGGCCAGGCACGGTGGCTCATGCCTATAATCCCAGTGCTTTGGGAGGCTGAGGAGGGAGGATCGCTTGAGGCCAGGAATTTCAGACCGGCCTGGGCAACCTATCAAGATCCTGTCTCTACAAAAAAATTTTTAAATTTGCTGAGCATGGTGGTACATGAGTGTAGTTCCAGCTACTCAGGAGGCTGAGGCGGGAGGATCACTTGAGCCCAGGAGGTCAAGGCTGCAGTGAGCTGTGAATGCACCACTGCACTCTAGCCTGGATGACAGAGTGAGACCCTGTCTTAAAAAAAAATAAAAAATTAAATTAAAACAAAATTTAAAAAAGAAGGAATGACAACCTTCAGCTGTATGGGTCAGTGGGAAAGGAAGGTCCCAGGAACCCGGCCTTTCCCAGAGGGAAAATTAAAGTCAGAGGACTGGCCGGACGTGGTGCCTCATACCTGTAATACCAACACTTTTTGAGAGGCTGAGGCCAGGAAATAACTTGAGGTCAGAAGTTTGATACCAGCCTGGCCAACATGGTGAAACCCTGTGTCTACTAAAAATACAAAAATTAGTCGGCATGGTGGTGGACGCCTATCGTGCCAACTACTTGGGAGACTGAGGCAGAAGAATCGCTTGAACCCTGGAGGTGGAGATGGCAATGAACCAAGATCGTGCCACTGCACTCCAGCCTGGGCGACAGAGCAAGGTTCTGTCTTCTAAAAAAAAAAAAAAGGCAGAGGACCAGGGCTTAGCCCAAGAGGAAAAGGCTGGAGAAGCTGACGTGGGATCCACTGTCTGTCCTGGCTTCTTAGCCCAAGTGGCCTTTGGGTGTAAGCGGGAACTCCAGGTGGCTGCGGAAGCCAGGGAGGGTGCTCACCCGCAGGAAGGAGTCCAGGGCGCCGTTCTCCATGAACTCCGTGAGAATCATGACAGGCATGCTGTTGGTGACCACGCCCTCCAGGCGGATGATATTCGGGTGCTCGAACTGGCCCATGATGGAGGCCTCGCTCAGGAACTCGCGCCGCTGCCGCTCCGTGTAGCCACCCTTCAGGGTTTTAATTGCCACACAGCTCTCCTTCTTCCCTGGGGCCTTGAGCCGCCCGCGGCACACCTCGCCAAACTCACCTTCAAACAAGGACGCGGACGTCATCAGCTCTCCCACCCTGGTGTGGCCCTGCCCACCCCCGCTTCGTTCCCAGGTGCCAGGCAGCCTTCTGCTCTCACCTGCGCCAATCACCTCTTCAATCTTGACATAGGAGACATCGATCTCTTTTGCAAATTCCCTCACAGCCTCATTAGGGTCTTCGTAAGTGAAGGGGTCGATGTAGACCTTAGTACCTGAGAAATCAGGCAGGGCCCCGTCAGCCGGGAATTAACTCCCACTGGACTCAGAGGCTCGGCTCATAGCTCTTGGCCCCAAGCCCCTATTTCCTTGTTTTTGTTTTTGTTTTTTTCCTGAGATGCAGTCTCGCTCTGTCACCCAGGCCTGGAGTGCAGGGGCACGATCTTGGCTCACTGCAACCTCTGCCTCCCAGGTTAAAGTGATTCTCCCGCCTCAGCCTCCCGAGTAACTGGGATTACAGGTGCCCACCACCATGCCTGGCTAACTGTTGTATTTTTTTATAGAGACAGAGTTTCAACATGTTGGCCAGGCTGGTCTCGAACTCCTGACCTCAAGTGATCCGCCCACCTCTGCCTCTCAAAGTGCTGGGATTACAGATAGAAGCCACCACACCCAGTCCCAAGCCCCTATTTCCATCAAATTAGGGCAACCCACCATGCCCAATGAGATACTGTCCGTGTTTGTCCGAATATTCTGCTTCTCTCCCGTTGCTCTGCTTCCTGTAGCCAATGGGAAAGGAGGAAAAGGTAAACTGAGTCACACATCTCTATGAGGCACACAGTGAAGGGAGGAGCAGGGATTGGAGAAGATTTCAAGTAAAAAGAGGCTGGGGGCACCCAGAAAGTCTTGCCCTGTAGCACCCAGGCAGGTAGCCATCAACTCAGGGCTTCCAGGGCCCTCCGGGTGTCAGAGCCCTTACCTGAGGCAGAGAACGGCGACCACAATGACCACCAGGACCAGGACCACACCCACGACTGCCGTGCCCGCAATCAGGGCCAGCTGCTCCCGCCAGCCCTCGTTCTCTGCAGAAGGAAAGGCTGTTGATCAGGAGAAACTGATGGGCCTGCAGGAGGCCCCAGCCCCGGCTCTGAGCAATGAACTGTGATCTCCTGAAAACAGGTCCCCAGTACAGGGGACAGGTGGAGGGAGAGGACACAAGCAGGCAGGGTCAGGGAGCAGACCACGGGTTTCAAACCGTCCTCCAGGGGCCAGCAGGCTCCTCTGAAGTCCCTCAGGGCAAGGGAGGAAGTTCCACAATGTTTTTACTGCCAGAGTAGCTTTTTGTTTGTTTTTTGAGATGCAGTCTCACTCTGTCGCCCAGGCTGGAGTGCAGTGGTGCAATCTCAGCTCGCTGCAATCTCTGCCTCCCGGGTTCTGCAATTATCCTGCCTCAGCCTCCTGAGTAGCTAGGATGACAGGTGTGTACCACCATGCTCGGCTAATTTGTGTATTTTTAGTTGAGATGGGGTTTCACCATGTTGCCAGGCTGGTCTCGAACCAGCCTGGGCATAAGCCAGCATGCCAGCCACCAGACTGGCTGTGATTTGGTTGTAGTTTAAATACCAGAGTCCACAAAAAAATCCCCATTCAATGAAACATTCTAAAGATGAAACATTTCCAGGTTTTTATCCAAAAAGTGGAAACAATTGAAATGTTCACCAAAAGATAAAATAATAAACAAAATCGGCTATTTCCATACAACTGATTATTACGTCTCCATAAAAAGAAATGAAATATTGGCCAGGAACAGTGGCTTATGCCCGTAATCCCAGTACTTTGAGATGCTGAGGTGGGAGGATTGTTTGAGGCCAGGTGTTCAAGACCAGCCTGGGAAACACAGCAAGACCCCATCTCTACCAAAAAATAATAATAATTATCCAGGCATGTCCCAGCTACTCAGGAGGCCGAGGTGGGAGGATTGCTTGAGCCCAGGAGTTTGAGGCTGCAATGCACTATGATCATACTGTTACATTTCAGCCTCGGTGACGGAGCAAAACCATGTGTTAAAAACAAAAACAAAAAACAGATCAGGTCCAGTGGCTCACGCCTATAATCACAGCACTTTGGGAGGCTGAGGTGGGCGGATTGCCTGAGCTCAGGAGTTTGAAACCAGCCTGGGTAACACGGTAAAATCCATCTTTACAAAAAATACCAAAAAAAAAAAAAATTAGCTGGGCATGGTGGCTCATGCCTGCAGTCCCAGCTACTTGGGAGGCTGAGATGGAAGGATCACGAGCCTGAGAGGTTGAGGCTGCAGTAAGCTGTAACTGAACCACTGCACTCCGGCCTGGGTGACAGAATGAGACCCTGTTTCTGAAACAAAGAAAGAAAGGCAAAACACAACCAAAAAACCCCACGGATATATACTACAACATGCATAAACCTTGAAAACATTCTGCTTGGTGAATAGTCACAAAAGACCAGAGTGGAGGATTTCAAGACAGAAAGTGGATTAGTGCTTGCCAGGGGTTAAGGCAACAGAAAGATCTGGGTGGAGGGTGATGGCTAAGGGCTATAGGGTCTCCTTTGAGGGTGCTGAAAAATGTCCCAAAATTACTTGTGGTGGTGACTGCACAATTCTGTGAATGTATCAAAAGTCATCGATTGTATACTTTGAACAGGCAAATTGTATGGCAGGGAACTGTATTTCAGTAAAGCTATTACAGAAAATTACAAGGTTTAGAAAGCCACTGGTCCAAGCTGGGTGTGTCAGCTCACACCTGCAATCCCAGCACTTTGAGAGGCCGATGCGGGCAGATTGCTTGAGGCCAGGAATTTGAGACCAGGCTGGGCGACACAGGGAAACTGTCTCAACAAAAAATAAAAAAAAAAATTAATTGAGCATGGTGGCAGACCCCTGTAGTCCCAGCTACTTGGGAGGCTAAAGTGGGAGGACTGGTTGAGCTCGGGAGCTGCAGGCTGCAGTGAGCTAGATGGTGCCACTGCACTCCAGCCTGGGTGATAAAGCAAGATCCTGTCTCTTCAAAAAAAAAAAAAAAAAAGTTAGGCTGGGCGTGGTGGCTCACGCCTGTAGTCCCAACACTCTGGGAGGCGGAGGCGGGCGGACCACGAGGTCAGGAGATTTAGAACAGGAGGCAGAGCCTGCAGTGAGCCAAGATCGCGATAGAGCAAGACCATGTCTCAAAAAAAAAAGTTAAAGAAAAAAGAAAGCCACTGGCCTAGCATATTAAAAATAACCTGTTACCTCCAATTTTCAAAGCTCTGCAGGAAGCTTCATGATATTTCCAATTTATTGGATGGGGAATGGAGAGCTCGGGGTCAGGTTGTTGCTAAATGTCAAGCCTGTGCTGAGCTTTTTTTTTTTTTTGAGACAGTCTTGCTCTGTTGCCCAGACTGGAGTGCAGTGGCACAATCTCAGCTCACCGCAACCTCCACCTACCAGGTTCAAACAATTCTCCTGCCTCGGCCGCCCGAGTAGCTGGGATTACAGGCGTGCACCACCACACTCAGCTAACTTTTGTATTTTTAGTAGAGATGGGGTTTCACCATGTTGACCAGACTGGTCTCGAACTCCTGACCTCAAGTGATCCTCCTGCTTCGGCCTCCCATAGTGCTGGGATTACAGGGTGAGCCACCGTGCCTAGCCATGCAGTGAGCTTTGATGGCGCCACTGCACTCCAGCCTGGGGGTACAGAGTGAACCAGGCTGAATTTCACACTCAGCTGTTGGTTTTGGTTCCGACACCCTACGTTCTTTCCTCTCTAGGGCATGCCATGTGATCCACAGAAAGAAGGACATGAAGCTAGGACTTTGGCCAGGTGCGGTGGCTCATGCCTGTAATCCCAGCACTTTGGGAGGCTGAGGCGGGTGAATCACAAAGTCAGGAGTTCGAGACCAGCCTGGCCAGCATGGTGAAACCCTGTCTCTACTAAAAATACAAAAAATTAGTCAGGCGCAGTGGCAGGCGCTTGTAATCTCAGCTACTTGGGAGGCTGAGGCAGGAGAATTGCTTGAACCCGGGAGGCAGAGTTTGCAGTGAGCCGAGATGGCGCCACTGTACTCCAGCCTGAGGGACAGAGCAAGACTCCATCTCAAAAGAAAAAAAGAAGATTGGACTTTGGGGACCCGGGGTCTTCCCAGGAACTTTGGGGGTCTTTCCAACCCCCAGCCTCACCCTTTCCCCAGGCTCACCATCCAGTTGGGTCTGGCTGTGATGTTCCTGGCCAAAGGGTCCGTAGCCGGCCTCAGAGCGCGCCCGTACCTGCACCAGGTAGCTGGCTCCCCGCTTCAGCCCCCGCAGCTCTGCCCGGTTTTCTGACGTCTTCAGGAACCGCACGCTGCTGGGACCCTCGGCACCCTGTCCAGGAGAAGTAGGGGGGTGGCCGTCACACGGGGCCCAGAGTTCCTGCTGCTCTTCCTGCCTCCTCCCCTCGCCCTCCACTCCCATCACTAGCCTGCCTCTAAGCTGGTGGGGCCTTTGGGAGAACTTATGTATGCAAGCCATGTGCTGTATTCATAGTATCTTTTTTTTTTTTTTTAAGACAAGGTCTCACTCTGTCTCTCAGGCTGGAATGCAGTGGCGCAAACACGACTCACTGCAGCCTCGACCTCAAGTCGAGAATCACTTGGGCTCAAGTGATTCTCCTACCTTAGCCTCCCGAGTAGCTGGGACCACAGGCACATGCCACCATGCCTGGCAAATTTTTTTTTTTTTTGAGATGGAGTCTCACTCTGTTGCCCGGGCTGCAGTGCAATGGCGCCATCTCGGCTCACTAGAACATCCGCCTCTTGGGTTCAAGTGATTCTCCGGTCTCAGCCTCCTGAGTAGCTGGGATTACAGGGGCCTGCCCACATGCCCAGCTAATTTTGGTATTTTTAGTAGAGATGGGGATTTCACTATGTTGGCCAGGCTGGTCTCGAAGTCTTCATCCCAGGTGTTCCACCCGCCTCGTCCTCCCAAAGTGCTGGGATTACAGGCATGAGCCACTGTGCCCAGTCTAATTTCTTTCATTTTAAATTTTTCAAAGAGATGAGGTTTCACCATGTTGCCCAGCCTGGTCTCAAACTCCTAGGTTCAAGCAATCTGCCCACCTTGGCTCCCAAAGTGCAGGGTATTACAGGCGTGAACCACCACGCCTGACCTGAGCCACTGTGTCCAGCCGCTGGTAACTATTACAGTAACTATTTTATAGATGAAGAGTCTGAGGCTCAGACAGGCCAAGGGGCTTACCCAAGGCTGCCCAGGGAATCCATGGCAGAGCTGGAATTCAAATACCTGCCACGTGCCTACAACCCATGTGTCCCAGCCAGGACAGCACAACCCATTGCCCACCCACCCCAGGGCTGGGGGATGGCCTCACCTTCTCATGGTACTTGACCTCGTAGTCCAGCACAGCCCCACTGGGTGCCCGGGGAACAGCCCAGGCCAGGCTCAAGCTGCTGGGTGAGGACCACGTCACCCGGATGTCAGACACTGCGGGAGGTACTGTGAGAGGCAGAGACACAGGGAACCCTTCTGCATGGTAGGTCTGTCCCTTAACTTTAAAAAATTTTTTTTTCGAGACACAGTCTTGCTCTGTCACCCAGGCTGGAGTGCAGTGGCACAGTCTCGGCTTACTGCAACCTCCACCTCCCGGGTTCAAGCAATTCTTCTGCTTCAGCTTCCCAAGTGGATTACAGGTGCCCACCACCATGCCTAATTTTTTTTATTTTTAGTAGAGACGAGGTTTCACCATGCTGGCCGGGCTAGTCTTGAACTCCTGACCTTATGATCAGCCTGGCCGTGTCCCTTATCTTTTCCAACACTTCCTCTGCTGGCTACGCTTATCTCAGTTTCTCCCTGGCTGTTTCGAGAATTCCTTGATTCTCTCGGCCCCCAGTCCCATTGGGAGCCTTCCTGTACTTAACTCTCCAGCTCACCTTTAGGTCCTCCTCACCCTCTCTTTCTTATTCGTTTATTTTGAGAGAGCGTCTCACTCTGTCACCCAGGCTGGAGTGCAGCGGTGCGATCATAGCTCACTGCAGCCTCCAACTCCTGGGCTCAAGCGATCCTCTCGCCTCAGCCTTTTGAGTAGCTGGGACCAAAGGCACGCACCGCCTCACTCGGCTAATATTTTTATGTTTTGTGGAGACAAGATCTTCCTATGTTACCCAGGGTGGTCTTGAACTCCAGGGCTCAAGTGATCCGCCTGTCTCAGACTCCCAAAGTGCTGGGATTACAGGAGTGAGCCACTGAGCCCAGCCATTGCCCTCTTTCTGCCTCTTGCCCCCAAAGTCTCGGCCCCTCACACTTCCTGGGGACCCTTCACAGCCCCTGCCTCTCCCCTTCAGGCCCTCAGTGACATCTCTCCCGCCGGACCACCCGCCGCCCCAGCCCCCAAGTCTCACCCTCTCGGTCGGTGGTGACATTGACAGGCTCAAATGGGACGGGCCCCGTGGCTAAGGAGGACACTCCGTTCAATGCAGTGACCTCAAAGGTATAGGTGAAGTCAGGACGCAGCCCTCGAACCACCACCCAGGGCTCCACCAGGTCCCGGGGGCCAGGGTCAAAGGTCAGGTCTCCCCCGCAGGGCGCGCAGGAGCCTCCGGGTCGGCACTCCCGGCAGCGGAGGGCGTAGGTGAGGTCCTCTCGGCCACCGGACTCCAGGGGGGCACTCCATTCCAGGTGCAGGGAGGAGCCGTTCAGGCGGGAAACCACGCTCCGTGGAGCCGAGGGAGGGGCTGCAGGAGACCAGGGAGTCAGGCAGAGGCTGACCTGCTCCGCGGCGGTGGGGAGAGGTCTGTGGAGGGACCAGCAGCCATGCTGGACTCTTGCCTTTGAGAAAGCGGGCTCCACCTGTTCCTCTGGGCTAGGGACCAGCATGCCAGGGACAAAGGGAAGAAGCCCAGGGAGGATGGGGGCCATGTCAGGGTCCATCTCAGGGGTCTGTGACCCCTCCCCAATGAACTTGCACCTGGGTGCTGGTCACTTACTGGTGCAGGGTGCACCCCGCGGGTCTGTGCGTGCCCGGAAGTACCCGATGCGGCACTGGCAGACGGCTGATCCGATGTTGTTAGAGTGGCTGTTGGCTGGGCATGGCTGGCAGGACCCTTCTCCTGACAGGGGCTTGAAGGTGCCCTGGGCACAGGCTGAGAGAAAGAGAAAGCATTCATCAAAAGCATGCACGAAAACATCCATCTGTATGGTGGGCCTGGTGGCTCATGTCTCGAATCCCAGCGCTTTGGGAGGCTGAGGCCGGAGGATCGCTTGAGCCAAGGGGTTCAAGACCAGTCTGGGCAACATACTGAGATCCCATCTCCAAAAAAAGAAAAAAGTTCCGGCGCTTTTAAGGGTGATGAAGTGCTAAGGTGGGAAAATGGACAAAAGATCTCAAAACCTCTCCCCTTAGAGGAGAAAGGAGACTCTCTCCAGAGAAGGGATCCTAACCTGTTTTGACCCTAATCTTGGCACTCTGGTGAAGCCCACAGAAAGACCTCTACTCCAAATTATGATTTTAAATGCACACCACAAAATACATATGAATACCAGGGAAACCAATTAAGCTGAAATGCAATGATTGAAACATGAGGAAAAAACTTTGGCCTACAGCAACACTTGTGTTTTTTTATTAAGATATAGCAGCAGGGCTGGGCGTGCTGGCTCAAGCCTGTAATCCCAGCACTTTGGGAGGCCGAGATGGGCGGATCACGAGGTCAGGAGATCGAGACTATCCTGGCTAACCCAGTGAAACCCCGTCTCTACTAAATATTACAAAAAGCTAGCCGGGCGAGGTGGCAGGCGCCTGTAGTCCCAGCTACTGGGGAGGCTGAGGCAGGAGAATGGCATAAACCCGGGAAGCGGAGCTTGCAGTGAGCTGAGATCCGGCCACTGCACTCCAGCCTGGGCAACAGAGTGAGACTCCGTCTCAAAAAAAAAAAAAAAAAAAGATATAGCAGCAGGTCTCTTAACCTCTGTAATACTGAAGTCATCATGAGCAAAAACAATGTTTTGGCTCTCGGAATGGCTTGTAAACACCTGTGATTTTTTTTTTTTTTCCCTAAGAAGGAGGCCTTGGGCAGGCAAATCACTTGAGGTCAGGAGTTCAAGACCAGCCTGGCCAACATGGTGGAAACCTGTCTCTACTAAAAATACAAAAGTAGTCAGGTGTGGTGATGCATGCCTGTAATCCCAGCTAGCTACTTGGGAGGCTGAGGCAGGAGAATCGCCTGAACCCGGGAGGCAGAGGTTGCGGTGAGCTGAGATCCCGCCACTGTACTCCAGCCTGGGCAAAAACAGCCAAACTCTTTCCTTTTGGAGTGCGCTCCCAGGCTGGAGTGCAATGGCGTGATCTCGGCTCACCGCAACCTCTGCCTCCCGGGTTCAGGCGATTCTCCTGCCTCAGCCTCCCGAGTAGCTGGGATTACAGGCATGCGCCACCATGTCCGGCTAATTTTGTATTTTTGGTAGAGATAGGGTTTCTCCATGTTGGTCAGGCAGGTCGCCCAGATAATTATTTTAAAATTTTTTTGTAGAGACGGGGTCTTGCTATGTTGCACAGGCTGGTCTCAAACTTCTGGGCTCAAGTGATCCTTCCACCTTGGCATCTCAAAGTCCTGGGACTACAGGCATGAACCACTGTGCCATAGCAATAGCTATGATTCCCATGGGGCCCAAGTCTCAGGTCCTGTTACAACTGCAGGTGGAATTTCAAGTGGAAATTAATGAATTTCAGGTGAAAATAAAAAGTCTTTTTTTTTCCAGCCAGGTGTGGTGACACATGCCTGTAATCCCAGCACTTTGGGAGGTGGAGGCAGGCAAATCACTTGAGGTCAGGAGATCGAGACCAGCCTGGCCAACATGGCAAAACCCTGTCTCTACTAAAAATACAAAAACTAGCCAGGTGTGGTGGTGCATGCCTGTAGTCCCAGCTACTCTGGAGGCTGAGGCAGGAGAATCGCTTGAACCCAGGAAGCGGAGGTTACGGTGAGCCAAGGTCGCGCTACTACATGCTAGCCTGGGCGACAGAGCAAGACGCTGTCTCAAAAAAAAAAAAAAAAAAAGTCGGCCAGGCGCAGTGGCTCACGCCTATAATCCCAGCACTCTGGGAGGCCGAGGCGGGCGGATCACGAGATCAGGAGATCGAGATCATCCTGGCTAACACGGAAAAACTCCGTCTCTACTAAAAATACAAAAAATTAGCCAGACGTGGTGGCGGGCGCCTGTAGTCCCACCTACTAGGGAGGCTGAGGCAGGAGAATGGTGTGAACCCGGGAGGTGGAGCTTGTAGTGAGCCGAGATCGTGCCACTGCACTCCAGCCTGGGCGACAGAGCAAGACTCCGTCTCAAAATAAATAAATAAATAGACATTTTTTTTCCTCCATCAAAGCTCACAGATTCCCTAGAAAACCAGAGGGTAAGAAGCCCTGCTCTAGAGAGAAGGCTAAGCGAGAATTCAGTATCAGTAAATTAGAGACTCACAATGAACAAGTGTGGAGACCTTAAAGGCTTTGTCCCTGCACCAACAAGGTCCACCCCACAGGACAGTCCTGCAGCCCAGCCCAGCCTCCCATGTTCGGCAAGCAGGGACGTTGGCCAAGGTTAAAGAGAAATCTGGAAACGAGAAAGGGCTCAGAAAACAGACCCTCTGGTAACTGAGTGCTCAGGAGAGGGAAGAGCATTTGAAACAGAAAGTTGGCTGGGTGCAGTGGCTCACGCCTGTAATCCCAACACTTTGGCAGGCCAAGGTGGGTGGATCACAAGGTCAAGAGTTTGAGACCAGTCTGGCCAACATGGTGAAATCCTGTCTCTACTAAAAATACAAAAATTAGCCGGGCATGGTGGCGTATGCCTGTAGTCCCAGCTATTCGGGAGGCTGAGACAGGAGAACTGCTTGAACTAGGACCCGGAAGGCAAAGGTTGCAGTGAGCAGATTGCGCCACTGCACTCCAGCCTGGGAGACAGAGCAAGCCTCCATTTCAACAACTAAATAAAATGGAAGCTTAAGAAGTGGGTCCTGAGTGGAGTTCAGGACTCTCCCCCGGATGAGCAGCAGTCGCAGGGGAAGCTCCAGCTCTCACCTCGGCACTTGGTGTTCCCCTCGGCCGCCTCGAACCCCGGAGCACAGCTGCAGCCGGTCACCGGCTGCTCAGCCCACTGGCCGTCCTCACGGCAGTAGAGGCTGGGGCTGGGGCCAGGGGCGGGGACGGCATCCACCACGCAGCTGCCAGCCACGGGCACAACTAGCTCCCGAGGCACAGTCTCCGGGAAGCGGGTCAGGTTCACAGTCAGCTGGGCGCACTTCTTGTAGAAGAGGTGCAGGGACAGCAGGGCCATGCAGGCACCCTGGTCCTGGAAGGCCAGGTAGAAGCCGGCCTTGCTGAGTGGTCCCAGACGCAGCGTCTTGACATTCACCTTCCCGGTGGCCTCGGCCCCAGGGCGCTTCCGGGTGAGATGCTCCGCGGCCACTGTGTCCACCTGCCGGGGCGGGGGAGGCACACCGCTGCTGTCCCCACTCCCTGAGGACCCAGTGGACTGTCGTGCTCTTCCCAGCTCACCCCCCCGGGCCTCCTTGGTTCCTATTCCAGAACCTTCCCTCCACCTTCCCCAGGGCACACTTTCTGCAGGCCCCCACACTGTCCATTCATCCTTGCAAAGCTCCTGCGATGTGCCCAGCCTCTGGCCTGCACCTCTGCCCTTTTTATTCACTCATTCTACAAACATTTACTGACACTGACGCCATGCCAGGCCCTGACCTCAGAGTCAAGGAGACAGCAATGAATGAATCTTAGGGAAGTTATAAAGTACCCTGAGGCCGGGCGCAGTGCCTCACGCCTGTAATCCCAGCACTTTAGGAGGCCGAGGTGGGAGAATCTGTCGAGCCCAGGAATTAGAGACCAGCCTGGGTAACATAGAAGACCCCGTTTTAAAAATACAGATATAAAAGAAAAATAAATAAAGTAAAATGAGTGCTGAGACAGGCAGGTGGACAGAGGTATGCAGGATTGTAGGGAGGAGAGAATCAGCCGAGGTAGCACAGGCAAGATCTCGGAGCTGGAACTTGGAATACAAGTAGGGGTGTGAGAGGCAGAGAGGCCCCCAGGTGGAGACATCACCGCTGCAAAGTCACGAGCTGGAAACCAGCCAGGTGCAGTCACGGAATGGGAGAAACTCAGCGTGGCTGGAGCATAGGGGGGTAGAGTGGTTGAGTTGACTGGAGGAGAAGGCTGACCCCTGGGCCTCCCTGGGGACTGGGCCAGGCAGCCCCCATATATTCTGCTGCTCCGCCCAGAAGATCACCCTGTTCCCTCCCGAGACCTAAGCCTCCTGCTTCCAGCCCCTAGCGCCCCCGTCAGAGGCCTCGGCTGCCCTCCAGGCCACAGGCTTGCTGGCTGGAATCCCACCTTGGCTGTGGCTGAGCCCCAGTGGCGCCCAGGTACCTTGATGTAGGGGTTCTCCATCCAGGCTGGTGTGAGGGCTGTGGCCGTGTCCGCATCGCTCTCATAGTAGAAGACGGTGAAAGTCTCCTTGCAGGAGCGCCCGGCCCGAGGCAGGGACAGGCACTCAAGCATGGTGAAGCGCAGCGTGGCGTAAACATGGACGGCGCCACGCCGTGGGACCCAGCCTGTGCGAAGCCAGTGGGCCTGGCCCGGGGCACGCTGCACGTCACACACCTCGTAGGTGCGCACACTGTGCTGTTCCTCATCCAGGCCGCTGAGTTCCTCCCACTGTGCAGAGAAGGAGGTCAGCTAGGGGGCTGGGGAGCCGCCAGGGAGAGGGCTGCATGGGGTGAATCCTATAAAGTGAGAGGGACGGAGAAACGGGGCCCGCTGGTACTGCGGGGAGGGCGCCTCTGAGGAGAAGGGCTCAGACAACACTGCTGGGGCTGCTGTCATCTGGGGGACAGGGGTGAGGAGTGGCGCACAGAAAGCAGGTGGCACAGGCCCTCCTTCCTCCCTCAGTTTCCCTCCAGAGCTCCAGCTCCTGGGTGCAGCTCTCACCTGCCCGTCCACCTGAGGGAACGTCACCCACTTCAGATCCGCAGTTTCCAATTTTGTGTTCAGCAGGGTCTCTGAGACAGACAGACAGAGTCAGTGCCGCTTGGGGTTGGGGAGGGAGGTCAGGAAGACAAGATCCGTGGGAACTAGAGGAGTTGGGGGGCCAACAGGGGACTAAGTCCTGCCCTCTGCACCCACCTCCGATTTCTGGCCTCTTTTGCTAAGTGCCAAACCCACCGCCAACATCTGGTAGGCATGGGGCTCCCTTGGGATACCCCAGATCTAGGCCTTCCTGGAGGAGGGAGGGAGATCAAAATGGATGGGGAGAAGGGGCAGCAGCTCAGAAAGGGTTAAAATGAGAGCCCTGCCCCGGTCCTGACCCCCAAGAGCAGAGGCTGCTGGTATGGGAGAGGAACCTCTTGTCTTAGCGTCCATGTTTCCCCCGCTAAGTCCCAGAATCGGTCTTTCTACCCCACAACTTCACTCCCTGTCCAAGACCCCTCCCTGCTTTCAGACCTAACACCCCGTCCTTTCCTCCTTGAAGGGAGTGCTCTGTGCCTGCGGCATAGCCCTGGCCCCCATCCCAGCACCTCCCTCCTCACAAGTGCCCTGATCAGGAAGCGCTGGAGGCCAGGATGCTAGGGTTCCCAGGCTCCCGCAGAGGCCTCACATCTGGATTTGGTTATGGGAAGGCAGAGGGGAGGAGATTATGGGGGACGGTGTGAATGGGAGGGGTGAACACACCTGGCTTGGCTCGAATCATCGGGGGAGGGGACAGGCACTGGAGGAAGGGGGGGATCAGGAAAAACTGCACAGCCCCTGGCAGTGGGGATTGGAGGAGGGAGGGTAGGGGAATCCCCTCAGGGGCCAGCAATGTAGGGGGCAGCGGGCACTAGGAAGGGCGGAGAGGGGAGCTTCAGGAGAGAAGGGAAAGAGGGTGGGTGAGACAGCCTCTTCCTGGGGTCCAAATGATGTCCTCTGGCCAGGGTTCAGGTGGGAAGCCAGCCAGCCTGAGGTGAGAGGTGCAGGGTCCCCATGGGTGGCAAGAGACAGCCCTGCTCGCTGGGGACAGGATGCCCGGGTTCTGGGAAGCTGGTGGATAGAGGCTGCCGTCTCCACCCTCCATTGTTCCAGCCGGGATAGTGTTTTCCTGTCTCCAATTTACACACTGTCTCTGCCTCGGGCTGTCCGCAGCCTGGAGCGAGAGCCCGCTCCCTTTCTGCACCCCAGCTCGGCTGCAGCACGCTTTGATCTGTCAGTTCGCGTGTCTCTCACCTCTCTCTCCTCCTCCACTCTCTGTCCACCTCAATTTCTCTTTCTGACAAGTCACTATCTCTCCTTCGCTTTCGGCCTCCACTTCTCGCCGTTCCTCCGAGCACAGGGCCTTAGATAAACTACATAACTCTAACTAAGCCCCGGCCTCCTCATCTGAAAAATGGGGGCAATGATAGCACCCACCCTCAGTGTTGCTGGATGGGTGAAATTAACATTTGTAAGGCGCTCAGCACAGGCCTAGTGCTTGGAAACACTCAGGTAATAGGTGTCACAATCATCATTTCCTCTGCGTCTTTCCTTCTCACCACACCTCGTCCTCGTGGTTTTTCCACCCCTTTGGCCTTCCTCTTCCCCTCGTTCACGGTTTTTTTTTCCCCCTTCTTTCTCTGAGCTGGGCAAACCTCCCCTCAACTCCCAACCCCACACCTAGCCTTTGATCTCCAGCCCAGGGCAATCCTGCCCAGCCCCGGGGGGAGAGGGTTTTTCTAACTCCACTGAATCCTTCCCTTCGGGAGTCCCTCATAGCCTACCCCCCATAGACCACTTTCATACCAGACAGAGAAAGGGGGGTGTTGGCAGCTCACTGAAAGGAGATTAGGGACACAGAAGGAGGGTTTCTAGGGCTCCTGGCTCCCCCTCTAGGGGACCAGGAGGGACAGCGATCCATGGCCAAAAAAACACTTGGAGAGACCAGGAGGCGGGAGATAGGCTGGGTTAGTTAGGGCGATGTGGGGGCCATGTAGGTTCAGTTTCTACCTGGGGGCTGCGTAGGTCAGTTTCTACCCGCTTCTAGGTCTCAAGGGAAGCCCGGGACTCACCTGGGGCCGGGGTCTAGACCGCATTTAAAGGAGTGGGGTGCAGCCTGTAGAAACCAAGGAGCCACTCTATAGCAGGGGCAGGGGCAGTGGGCCGGAGAGCGGTTTGGGGGTTTGATGTGTGAATGCATAAGGAGGCCATCCTGTTGCAGGAGTGTGGAATTGGAGGATCAAGGTGTGATCGCTAAAGAATTGGCGATGGGGGTCGTTTTAGGGCCTAGCACGAAAAGTTCTGCCTTGTCTGCTGTTGCTCCTCCAGAAACCTTCCCTCATGTAGGGCGGGAGGTGGGACTGGGACAGAAACTTTGCAGATAGTTTTGCAGAGTGGGGTAGGGAGGAAAGGAAAGGCTGCCAGGGGCGTATGGAGTCAGCAGTGAGAGTTTGGGGAGCCCAGGCAGGGGAATGTCCCGGGTCGCAGCCAGACTCCATCTCTTTCCCAAACAAAAGAAAACTCCACTCCCCGCCGGGCGCCTCTTCCCCGCCCCCCTCCCGTTCCAGCACTATCGGTCCGAAGTGTTTGGGACTGGAGTGCCCGGGTAAGCGTAGACAGAGGCCGGCCACTCCACTCCGAGGCCCAGACGTGGTAGGGAGGTCCCAGGAGTGACGGGGTGCCTCCCCAAAGGAAACTCACCTTCCAAAGCGGCGGCCAAAGAAGCCCAGCAGAGCAGCGCCCGGAGCTCCATGGCGCCGCCTCACTCGGGTAGAATCCGAACTGAGTTTGGGGGGCCCTCGCCCCCCCAGGTCTGACTCTCCCTGGGCGGGTGGACGTCGATTCTCCGCGCGGGACTCTCCGTCGGGGCCCTCAGCGCGGGCCCATGCGAGCGTGCGGGGCACCCGGCGGCGGCGCCAAGTGTGGCTCCGCGTCTGTGCCGCGCGCGGGCGGCGGGCCCGGAGCGTGCTGGCAGTGGCCGCGGCGGGCGGGCGCGCAGCAAGACGTGGCTGGAGTCGGGGTCCCTCCGGGGCCTCGGGGTCCCGCCCCGGGTGGTGGGGGCTGAGCCGGCCGCTCGCGGTCTCCCCCCCTCCCTGGAGTGGCTCTGCTCGCGCCGCCGGGCCGAGTGCTCTCCTCGCGGGCGGGGATGGTTGGAGCCCGAGCGGGGACGGAGCGGGAGGGAGGGAGACTGCGGCGCGGGGCCGGGCGGGCCGGGCCGGGGCTGAGCAGCGCCGGGACTGGGCTGGGCGGCGCCGGGCCCGGGAGGGAGGGGCGCGCGGGGGGCGGGGGCAGCTCCCCTAACGCCGGAGCTCGGCGAGGGGGCCCGGGGAGCGCTGATTGGAGCTCACGCTACTGAATAATTCATGAGAGAAGCGGAGAGGGGCACCGAGTGGAGCAGGTCGGGAAGTTGGGAGAAAGTTTGGAGAAGGGGGAGGGGCGGCGGGTGAGGAGCCCCGGGACCGCCCAGATGTGCGCCGTGGCTTTGCGCGCTGTCTGGGACCGAGCATGTCGGGGCTGGGGCCCGGGGACCCCCGGGACAGGCCCGAACCCGGCTGGCACCAGGGAGCAGAGAAAACACACACCTAGCAGCAACACGGAGGGCCGCCCAGGCGTGCACGTAAATGTTCACCGCGCACACAAAGCCCGCTCTGACCTTGCTGCGGACTCCAGATGCTGCTCTTGGATGCGCCCACCACCCTCTAGTGGGCGCAGGGACTGCGTTTGGGGGAAAAGGAAGGAAAAGGGAGTAGAAGCTTTGGAGAATAGAGGGCCGCCCAGGGGGCCTCAAGGAGCAGTCCCAGTTTGGATAACCTTACAGCGAACGTTCACAGTCACCCCATAAACATTCAGTGTTGAGGACCTACTGTGCGCGCAACCAAGCCCTAGAAAATGTCCGGAGGGGGCGCGCACTAAGCTGCGCTGGGGAGTAGAGAAAAATCGAGGAAGCAACGGTAAAGAAAAGGTGGGTGTGGCCGGGCGCTGTGGCTCACGCCTGTAATCCCAGCACTTTGGGAGGCCGAGGCAGGCGGATCATTTGAGGTCAGGAGTTCAAGACCAGCCTGGCCAACATAGTGAAACCCCGTCGCTACTAAAAATACAAAAATTAGCTGGGCATGGTGGCGCGCGCCTGTAATCCTAGCTACTCGGGAGGCTGACGCAGGAGAATTGCTTGAACCGGGACCCGGGAGGCGGAGGTTGCAGTGAGCTGAGAGCTAAGATCCAGCCACTGCATTCCAGCCTGGGCTACAGAGTGAGACGAAGTCTTAAAAAAAAAAAAAAAAAAAAGGTGGGTGTGTCCAAGAGGGTGAGGGGTCCGGCTAGATCTCCAAATCGCCCTTCTCACTCTCACTCTCGTGTTTTGGGGGGGCTTCCCCGCCGCCTGCAGCCATGACCCCTGAGGCTGGGGCTGCGGCTGCGGCTGCTGTCTTTCCTGAGCTGTTTCCTGTCTGGCTCCTGGGGGCCCTCGGGATGACTGGGAGGGGCCCTTCCTCTCATTACCAACTCCCCTCACCCTCCCATCAGTTAGCGGGGAGGGTCCAGCACAGCCGTGCTCCTCCCACCAACCCCCTTCTACTTCAGGGAACTTACGGTATGGGTTACTGGATGGATGGTTGGATTGGAGTCAGCCCCTGCAAGGGGCAGAAAGAAAGGGCTTAGACTCCCACAGTAATTAGCGGGGACAGAATCCTTCTTTCTTTTTTTGAGACGGAGTCTCCCTTTATTTCCCAGGCCGAGTGCAGTGGTGTGATCTCGGCTCACTGCAACCTCCGCCTCCCGGGTTCAGGCGATTCTCCTGCCTCAGCCTCCCGAGTAGCTGGGATTACAGGCGCAGGGCACCACCCCCAGCTAGTTTTTGTATTTTTAGTAGAGACAGGGTTTCGCCATGTTGGCCAGGCTGGTCTCGAACTCCTGACCTCAAGTGATCCACCCACCTTGGCCTCTCAAAGCGCTGGGATTACAGACGTTAGCCACCGCGCCCTGCTGGGGGACAGAATCTTGAAGAGCCCAGCAAGAGAGATGTTGGAGTCCAGGATGCTTGGGGGGCTGCCAAGCTCCCTTACGTCCCAGATAGGACAGCCAGGCCTGTGATAACCTCTTGTCCCAGCTTACTTATCTTCCTGCTGCAAGAGGTGTTCCCCACACCCCTGCCCTTCCTCGCTGTTCTGCCTGGGTCCTGCGCACGGGTTGGGGTGGGGGGGGGTCACCGAGGGCAGGAAACAGCCGGCTCTGCTGGAGCCAGGCAGACCAGCCTGGAGCTGGGAATTCCCTCCTCCCTCCCCAGTGCAGGCCCAGTCTCCCCTTCTCTTATTCAGCTTCTCCCTCGGGGTTCTCTGCAACCCTCTCCCAAACCCCTGCCCTGCCTTTTGCCACTCTCACTCTGTACCCAGATCCTGTAGCCTCTAAAAGTTATGTCTTCTGGCTGGGGACAGTAGCTCAGGTCTGTGATCTCAGCATTTTGGGAGGCCAAGGCGAGTGGATCACTTGAGCCCAAGAGTTCGAGACCAGCCTGGCCAACATGGTGAAACCCCTTCTCTACTAAAAACACAAAAATCAGCTGGGCATGATGGTGCACACCTGTAGTCCTAGCTACTAGGGAGTCTGAGACAGGAGAATTGCTTGAACCCTGCGAGGTGGAGGTTGCAGTGAGCTGAAATCGTGCCACTGTACTCCAGCCTGGGCAACAGAGTGAAACTCTGTCTCAAAATAAATGAATTAATAATAAAAAAGAAAACACTCGGCCGGGGGCGGTGGCTCAAGCCTGTAATCCCAGCACTTTGGGAGGCCGAGATGGGCGGATCACGAGGTCAGGAGATCGAGACCATCCTGAGTAACGCAGTGAAACTCCGTCTCTACAAAAAAAAACACAAAAAACTAGCCGGGCGAGGTGGTGGGCGCCTGTAGTCCCAGCTACTCGGGAGGCCGAGGCAGGAGAATGGCGTGAACCCAGGAGGCGGAGCTTGCAGTGAGCTGAGATCCGGCCACTGCACTCCAGCCTGGGCGACAGAGCAAGACTCCGTCTCAAAAAAAAAAAAAAAAGAAAAGAAAACACTCATCTCAGTGGGGCACAGTGACTCACACCTGTAATGCCGGCACTTTGGGAGGCCAAGATGGGAGGATCGTTTGAGTCCAGGAGTTTGAGACCAGCCTGGACAATATAGCGAGACCCTGTAAGAAAGAGAGAGAAAGAAAGGAAGAGAGAAAGAGAGGAAGAGAGAAAGCAAGAGAGAGAGGAAGAGAGAGAAATAAAGAGAGAGTGAGAGAAAGAAAGAAAGAAAACATTCTATCCCATGTCAGGTCATCAGCCCACCCCCCACACCAGGAGGCAGTAATCCATTTCCTACCATCTAGTGTATGCTAGTCAAAGAACAAATAAATTGCCAGGTGCAGTGGCTCATGCGTGTAATCCCAGGACTTTGGGAGGCCAGGACAGGTGGATCACGAGGTCAGGAGATCGAGACAATCCTGGCTAACACAGTGAAACCCTGTCCCTACTAAAAATAAATAAATAAATAAATTTTTTAAAAAAAGAATGAATAAATGCAATATTTCTTGAGCCTCTGCTATGTGCTGAGTGATCACATTGCTAGTTTTCAAGATTTGTAAAACATGGCTCCTGGCCTCAAAGAGAATCTGGTAAAAATTAATATAGTTTTATGTCATCTGGTGAATTATAACCTGGTAAAAAAAAATCCCATGATTTCCCGTTTACGTGGAGATGACATCTGAGATTTTCACTTCAGTTCTCAGGAACCACCCTTGGTCTATCCTGTGTGTGTGAAGTCATGTCCTCTGCCCTCAGACCACCCAGAACTGCTTTCCAGGCAAGCAAATTCAGTAGCCACTGAATTACAGAACATGGATGAGCACTGACATTACTACCTGAATCCATGCCTGTTCTGCAAACCAAACAAATCTCAGGCTCTCCCTTCCTCATTATTAGAGTACTTTGCTGTTCCCTACCCAAAATATTAGGCTGCCACCTTTGTTCCCAGCCCAGAGCAATACACTACTATCACATGTTGCATTGTCAGTACTTGCACATAGCATTCACCGCCAGCTACTGCAGTTTTCTTTTTTTCTATTTTATTTTATTTTATTTTATTTTATTTTTGGAGACAGAGTTTCCTTCTTGTTGCCCAGGCTGGGTGCAATGGTGGGATCTCGACTCACCGCAACCTCCGCCTCCCGGGTTCAAGCAATTCTCCCACCTCAGCCTCCCGAGTAGCTGGAATTACAGGCATTCGCCACCATGCCTAGCTAATTTTGTATTTTTAGTAGAGACGGGGTTTCTCCATGTTGGTCAGGCTGGTCTCGAACTCCCAACCTCAGGTGATCCACCTGCCTTGGCCTCCCAAAGTGTTGGGATTACAGGCGTGAACCACCGCACCTGGCTCTCTTTTTTTTTTAGAGATAGGGTCTTGCTCTGTTGCCCATGCTGGAGTGCAGTGGCACAGTCATGGCTCACTGCAGCCTTGACCCCCTGGGCTCAAACAATCCTCCATCAGCCTCCCAAGGAGCTGGGACCCCAGCCTGGGACCATGCTGGGCTAATGAGTTTACTTCTTCTTGTCCAGATCATGACAGTTGTTTTCAGTAATCCTGGAGTTAGAGCTTTTCCTATTGTAAGAAATAACAAGCAACAAATCATCCCTTTCTCCGTAAATTGTTGAACTTCTCATTACTCTTTCCACATCTCAGTCTCCCCCTCTTCTGGGCCACCTAACTGTGTCGGGTCCAAAGTTCAGGTTTACCCCAAAGTTCATGAAGTTTAAGCTTCAGCACCTGTCACCTGCCTGGCTTCTTCCATGGCCCTGGTTAATAAGTGCCATCAATTTAAACAGTTTCGAAGGTGAGTTTCAGCAGGACAACACTATTCAGACCTGAAATCTTACAGCTCTGTTACAAAAGGAATTTGATAGAGCTTTCAACATTACCAACAGAGTTGTAAAGCTCAAATAAATTTTTATAAACAATAATGAAACCTTAAAAACTTAGCCAGGCTGCTTGGGAGACGGAGGCAGGAGAATCACTTGAACCTGGGAGGCCGAGGCTGCAGTGAGCAGAGATCATGCCACTGCACTCCAGCCTGGCAACAGAGTGAGACTCCATTCCCCCGACCACACCCCCCTCCCAAAAAAAAACTTAGCCAGGCACTGTGGCTCACGCCTGTAATTCCAGCACTTTGGGAAGCCAAGGCAGGAGGATTGCTTGAGTCCTGGAGTTTGAGACCAGCCTGGGCAACAAAGGGAGACCCCCGTCTCTACCAAAAAATAAAATAAAATAAAAAAATAGCTGGGCGTGGTGGCATGTGGCTATGGTCTCAGACACTGGGGAGGCCGAGGTGGGAGGATCACTTGAGCCTGAGAGGTCTAGGCTGCAGGGAGCCGTGATGGCACCACTGCATTCCAGCCTGGGCAACAGAGCGAGACCCCATCTCAAAGAAAAAATTAATCAGCCATCCTACAGGAAACATGAAGAAAGAATAGAAAATAATATTACAAAATCATCATATGAAGAGGTGATCAAAGAGTACACATCTAAGAAAAAGGTAGCAAATACGTATTCCAGGGCTATGTCAAGCTTATTTACTATAAATGTTATTTTTCTAGCTTATATAATATTTATGATATTTGTCATGTTTTAAACATTTGAGGTCAGTTGGGATTTCTTCTCTCAATCCAAAGATTAATTTTTTTTCTTTTTTTTTTTTTTTTTTTTTAAGAAACAGGGTCTCCCTTTGTCACCCATGCTGGAGTGTGCAGTAGCATGATCGAGGTTCACTGCAGCCTCCAACTCCCAGGCTCAAGCTATCCTCCTGCCTCAGCCTTCCAAGTAGCTGAGACTATAGGCGTGTGCAACCATGCCTAGCTAACATTTTTAGTGTTTGTAGAGACAGGGTCTCACTATGTTGCCCAGGCTAGTCTTGAACTCCTGAGCTCAAGTGATCATCTCGCCTTAGCCTCCCAAAGTCCTATGATTACAGGTGTGATCCAGGGCACCTGGCCTGGCTAATTTATTTTATTTTATTTTTATTTTTTGTAGACATGAGATCTTGCTATGTTGTCCAGGCTGGTCTCAAACTCCTACCTAATTCTAGTACTGTGTGAGCCGGGAAAAAAAAAAAAAGTTGAAAAAAGGCTGGCGCAGTGGCTCACACCTGTAATCCTACGCACCTTCGGCAGGCTGAGGCAGGTGGATTACCTGAGGCGTGGAGTTCAAGCATCAGCCTGGCCAACATGGTGAAAGCCTGATATCCTACTAAAATACAAAAAAATTAGCCAGGTGCAGTGGGCAACGCCTGTAATCCCAGCTACTCAGGAGCTGAGGCACGATAATTGCTTGAACCCAGGAGGGCAGAGGTGCAGTGAGCTGAGATGTACCACTGCACTCCAGGCTGGGCAACAGAGCGAGCTCTGTCTCAAAACAAACAAAACAAAACAAACAAAAAACAAAGAAAAAAAAACAGGCAAGTTGTGGTGGCTCATGCCTGTAATCCCAGCACTATTGGGAGGCTGAGGTAGGAAGATCACTTGAGCCCGGAGTTTCCAGGCCAGCCTGGCAACATATGAGACCCCATCTTAAAAAGAAAAATATAGCTGGGCGCAGTGGCTCACGCCTATAATCCCAGCCACCTTTGGGAGGCTGGGCGGGCGCGGTCCCGAGGTCAGGAGATCAAGACCATCCTGGCTGGCGGCGCGGTGGCTCAAGCCTGTAATCCCAGCTTTTGGAGGCCGAGATGGGTGGATCACGAGGTCAGGAGATCAAGACATCCTGGCTACACACGAGTGAAACCCCCATCTCTAATAAAAAATACAAAAAACTAGCCGGCGCAGAGGTGGCGGGCGCCTGTAGTCCCAGCTACTCGGGAGGCTGAGGCAGGAGAATGGCGTGAACCCGGGAACGGCGGAGCTTGCAGTGGCTGAGATCGCCACTGCACTCCCAGCCTGGGCGACAGAGCGAGGACTCCGTCTCAAAAAAAAAAAAAAAAAAAAAAAAAAAAAAAAAGACCATCCTGGCTAACACGGTGAAACCCCGTCTCTTACTAAAAATACAAAATTAGCCAGGCATGGTGGCAGGCACCTGTAGTCCCAGCTACTCAGAGGCTGAGGCAGGAGAATGGCATGAACCCGGGAGGCGGAGCTTGCAGTAAACCAAGATCGCACCACTGCACTCCAGCCTGGGCGACAGAGTCACCTCAAAGGGAAAAAAAAAAAAGAAAGAAAGAAAAAATAAAATAAAATAAAAATTGAAAATGGAGGACACCTAGTCATTTTCTAATTTCCAGGATTGAACAAGTCAGGGGTAGAGACAGCCACAAGGCCTCACCAGCATCCAGATGGGTAAGCGCACAGCCTAAGTCATGGTGCACAGACTGTACAGGATCATGCAGGAAGCACAGCTGATGCAGGTTCAGGCGAGCTTTCTGCAGAAGGTGAAGATGTCTGAATGAGTCCTAGAGGAGACTGGCAGGAAAGAAGTTTAAAGGCAGAGTTGTGAGATCGCCCCATTCAGAGAGCTGCCAGAGTTCACGACCCAGAGGGCAAGGATAGTGACCATGGGTGAACTGGAGAGGTGAGTGAGGGCCAGCCTCAGGTCATTACGGGTTTCTACAGGACTGCCCTGGGGAGGTAGAGAAGGGTTTTAGGCCAAGAAACCACACTGTATGGTTTGTAGAGGAAGATCCCACTTGTACAACTTTGGAGAATGGATTGAAAGGAATCAAGACTGAAGGTGGGGAAACCAGTGCAGTATCCAAGTGACTACGTGGGCTTGAACCCAGATAGGCGTATGTGTGTGAGTGTGTGTGTGTTGAGTGGGATGGTGCATGCACGTATGGAGCCAGGGGAGGATTCAGGAGATGTTAAGGGTTGGGCGCGGTGGCTCACACCTATAATCCCAGCACTTGGGAGTCCGCAGCTGGCGGATCACTTGAGACCAGGAGTACAAGACCAGCCTGGGCAACATGATGAATCCTCGTCTCTACAAAAATTAGCTGGGTGTGGTGGAGCGTGCTATTCGGGAGGCTGAGAAGAGAGGATCACCTGAGCTCAGGAGGCAGAGGTTGTAGTGAGATCACACCACTGCACTCCAGCCTGGGCAACAAAGCAAAACCCTGTCTCAAAAATAAAAATAATAGGCTGGGCATGGTGGCTCACACCTGTAATCCCAATTCTACAGGAGGCTGAGACAGGAGGATTGCTTGAGCCCAGGAGGTGGAGGCTGCAGTGAGCTGCCATGATTGCACCACTGCACTCCAGCCTGGGCAACAGAGTGAGACCCTGTTTCAAAAAAAAAAAAAAAAATTAAAAGAGTGTGATTGGCCGGGCACGGTGGCTCACGCCTGTAATCCCAGCACTTTGGGAGGCCAAGGCAAGTGGATCACCTGAGGTCAGGAGTTTGAGACCAGACTGGCCAATATGGTGAAACCCCAGTCTCTACTAAAAATACAAAAATTAGTTGAGCATCGCCAGGCGTGGTGGCTCACGCTTGTAATCCCAGCACTTTGGGAGGCCGAGGTGGGTGGATCACCTGAGGTCAGAAGTTCAAGACCAGCCTGGTCAACATGGTGAAACCCCGTCTCTACTAAACATACAAAAATTAGCCGGGCATGATGGCGGGCGACTGTAATCCCAGCTACTCAGGAGGCTGAGGCAGGAGAATCACTTGAACCTGGGAGGCAGAGGTTGCAGTGAGCCGAGATCGCGCCATTGCGCTCCAGCCTGGGCAACAAGAGCAAAACTTCGTTCCCCCCAGAAAAAAAAAAAAATTAGCTGGGCATGGTGGCAGGTGCCTGTAATCCCAGCTACTTGGGAGGCTGAGGCAGGAGAATCACTTGAACTCGGGAAGCAGAGGTTGCAGTGAGCTGAGATGGTTCCACTGCACTCCAGCCCAGGCAACAGAGCGAGTTTCCGTCCTCAAAAAAAAAAAAGGGGGGACCCCGGGGCTTACCCCCGGGATCCCAGCACTTTGGTAGGCCAAGGCAGGCAGATCCCGAGGTCAAGAGATCGAGACCATTCTTGCCAACATAGCAAAACCCTGTCTGTACTAAAAATACAAAAATTAGTTGAGTGTGGTGGTGCACACCTGTAGTTCCAGCTACTTGGGAGACTGAGGCAGGAGAATCGCTTGAACCAGGGAGGCAGAGGTTGCAGTGAGCCGAGATTGCACCACTGCACTCCAGCCTGGGTGACAGAGCGACATTCTGTCTCAAACACACACACACACACACACACACACACACACAAAAGGGTGTGATTGACCCTTTAACATTTCATGCAGACTTTCCCATCCTGCTCCCCGCCTCAGTGCTGGGGATAGAGGAAGGGCTCTTGAGTGCTGTTGGGATAGCAAGAGGCTGAGAGAAATAGCTAGAAATGGCAGTGCGCATCAGTGAGCTGATAGGAGTGAGAGGAGAAGGGCAGAGCTTTCAGCAGAGGCCAGGGATGCCAGAGGGCATGGAGGTGGAGGAGAGAGAGGCTAAGGGGCTAGGGCCAGAGCTAAGAACGGCTGTTCAGGGAGGGGAGTGGAAAGGTAGGCGGGAGTGGGAGGGTTGGGGAGAGGTAGTGGGAGGCTCATTGTCCCAGTAGGGGGAAGTCTTTTGTTTCCTCTCTTCCCCTGACAGCCTGGCAGGATATGAGGCCAAGCCCCCCCATGCCAGCATCCCTGCACCCACTAGACTACACTGTGGCCCTTCCCTGACTATTGTGTCCTGGCTGGGAATGGGGGCAGGGGGAGGCAGGAGGCTGGCTCTAGGAGGGAAAGTAAGAAGGACTATTTGTGGCTGGAGGCTAGGATACCGGGGTCCGGAAGGGACAAGAAGCTCTTGGGCTGGTTAGGGGAGCTTGGCACAGAAAGGTCTGTGTGGGGAGGAGCAGGAAGCCAGGCCGGGTGGGGCCAGCACCGAGGGTAGCAGGTCGGGCCAGGGGAAGGTAGGCCGAGCCCCAGAGGAGATGACGCAGGGCCTCAGGCCTCTCCCAGCCCCCACTCTTCCAGCCTGGGGAAGAGAGCTCACCTGAACCTCAGAGAACCCACCCCCCCTCCATTCCCTAAGGCTGACATCACCCCATGCGCCACAGCCCCGCAACCTGTCTGGCCAGAGCCTTCCACATCCAGCTGCTGCCCGGATACCCTGCCTCCCCAGGATCCAGGGGTCCGGCCTCGCACTGCTGCCCTCTAGGAACCCTGGAATTTCATCCCTCCCCTCGGCTCACTCCTGGGCCGTTTTGCCCCATCAGCTGTTCTTGCAGGAAGGGCGCCCAGCTCAGCTCGCCTCTCTTCCCGAGAGTCTTTTGTTTGCTGGGTCTGCAGGAAATTGGAGGGGCGGTGGCCAAGGGCTCATCTGCCCCTGGGACCTGGGGGAGGGGGGCCCAGATTCACCAGACTTAATCCTGGGGAGTTTACAGCAGGAATGGGGTGGGGGAGGGTGGGGGTGAAGTGGGCGGATCTCCAGGAAATTAGCATTTAAGGCCTAACTCTGAGAGTGCCATTGGATCTCCTTGTCCCCTCAGAGCAGATGGGGCATGTGTGTGTTCCAGGATCGGGGATCCCTATAAGTGAGGGCTGGGGGGCCACTCTGAGGTCACCTAATAGGTTGACAGGGGCGTTGACACCAAGGGAGAGAATCTCTGATACTGAATCCCACAATCTCCTCTATTTCTATACACGATTTTTAAAAATAGAGATACGGGCTCGCTATGTTGCCCAGGCTGGTCTCGAACCTCTGGGCTCAAGCGATACTCTCGCCGTGGCCCCGCAAAGCGCTGGGATTACAGGCATGAGTCACTGCGCCCAGTCCCACAATCCGTCTTTTACACGCCTGGGATCCTGGGGATGAAAAGAGGTGGGGAGGCAGGTCGGACCAAACCGTCTTTGAGAATTATTATTTTTTCCATTAAAAAACGGTGGAGAGGACGACCCGCACGCGGCCCCACAATTCGCGCCTTCCCAGGACGCAACCGTAGAAAAGGCGGCGGCGTGGACGCTCTGGCGGGCCGGCGTCCTCTCGTTGGTTGCCCTCTCTCTGAAGCCATCTTGGGCGCCGCCATCCTTCCTTCCCGGCAGTCAGTCACGAGAGCAGCACGCCCCAGGCCTCCGACTGCTGGCGTGCAGTGGGGCGGATTCTGGATAGTTGCAGCAGCCACCGTGAATGTTTGGTTTTTTCCAGGCGCAGGGCAGTAGCGAAGAAAACTGAAGCTCCTGTTTCGTAGAGCTTAACTTCCTTTCGTTTTTGAGACAGGATCTCTCTCTGTTACCTACGCTGAGTGCATGGGCACGATCATAGCTCATTGCAGCCTCGAACTCCTGACCTCAAGTGATTCTCCACCCTTGGCCTCCCAAAGTGTTGGGATTATAGGCCTAAGCCACCGAGCTCGTCCTGAGCTTAACTTTCTATTGGGAGTAGGCAATCAATGAACAAGATACATAAACAATATATATCAGTTAGATGGTGTTAAGTGCTATGGAGGAAAAAAATAGGAAAAAGGGAGGAGGTACGATGGTTTAATTTTATTTTTATGTATTTATTTTTGAGACGGAGTCTCACTTTGTTACCCAGGCTGGAGTGCAGTGGTGCAATCGCGGCTCACTGCAACGTCCACCTCCCAAGTTCAATCAATTCTCCTGCCTCAGCCTCAAGAGTAGCTGGGATTACAGGTGTGTGCCACCACGCCCGCCCAGCTAATTTTTGTTTTTAGTAGAGACGGGTTTCACCATGTTGGGCAGGCTAGTCTTGAATTCCCAACCTCAGGTGATCCGCCTGCCTCGTGATCCCAAAGTGCTGGGATTACAGGCGGGACCCACCACGCCCAGCCAATTTTATTTCATCTATTAATTTTTTAAAAAATTTATTTCGGCCGGGCGCGGTGGCTCAAGCCTGTAATCCCAGCACTTTGGGAGGCCGAGACGGGTGGATCACGAGGTCAGGAGATCGAGACCATCCT